AATTTGCACGAACTTCCCTTTACCAGCATCGTGTTCCTCTCGTCCAGACGTGTGGAATGAACTATGAATTGACCTTGAAAGGTCAACTTGAAAATTTGGCCTCAGGTCAAGGTCATGACCTGACCGATAAGGGCTAAGATCCATATCAGTCCATCCGTATCGTCGAGCCAAACACAACTAAGGTGTATTCATCGCTCTAGCATACCTCTATCAAAAGTTATTCGCGAAAAACAGTCAGATACCATTCGTGACCTGAGATGACCTCAGGGTTATAGAAAGGGTCACGGGTGCCATTTTCATGTTCAATGTGTCAAAGATACTAGTAATTCAGTGTTTTAGAGTGTTTATAATGACTTCCGTCTAAAAAGGCGACTTTCAATTTAAGGTCGCAAAATTGACCTGACCTTATGTCATCGATATCAAAATTCCAAGACATACATTTTTTGCATTTTGTCGCTCTTGTGCATTTGCATCTCTGAAAGTTTCAAAGCGTTTGGTCACTCCGCGTACCTTTGGCAGACATTAAAACTTTTTATGTAGTGAGGTCATTTGACCTGACCTGGTGACCTGACCTTAAGTGACCAGGGTCTGAAATTTTCACAACATGTGTAGAAATGATGTAGAATAAAGTGTGCCGCGTCGCCGTTTTTTAGATATTCACGGAAAACTGCAGGGGGGTGTTTAACACCCCCCGGCAGGGCGCGGGTTAATGCATGAACACAGCAGCCCATTTCTGTAATATATACCTGTGGCTGTGTTGGTATTTTTACGATGGATGCAATTACCCAAACCATTTAATAGACCGTGGTGATATTCCCATAGCCATGCTTCGCACAACTCATAATAATTTATTTGACCGGGAACTTAATATACCTATACCTATCCATCGATTGTTTGTTTCATCTACGGCGTAAATGAAGCAAACAGTGGCGGTCGCAGGGGGGGGGCCATCAGGGCCATGGCCCCCCCCAAAGCCAAATCAGGGGGGGGGCCATCATATCATTTGGCCCCCCCAAACAACCGATGGGCCCCCATGGCCGTATGGGGCCCTGGCCCGTATTCGATTGTCACGAGGCTCGAGAAACCCACGCCAGCTATTAACAGCTCCCATACCAGTCTTTGAGGGTCCTACACTGACCTCTGAGGGCCCTTCAGTGGCGGTCAAGCGTCCACATTGACCGCTGAGGACCCACATTGACCTCTGAGGGCCCTCCACTGGCCTTTGAGGGCCCCTAAACCGGCCTCAAGGGCCCAACCGGCGTCTGAGAGCCTCACACCGGCCTCTGGTGGCCTCATTTCTGTCTCTCGAGTCCCAAGACTAGACTTTAAGTGTCTCTGAGGGCCCCACACTGGATTCTGAAGACCCGATGCCGGCCTCTAAGAGCCCGCATCGGCCTCTGGGGGCCCATCTTGGCCTTTGAGGGCCCTCCGCCGCTGGTCTCTGGTGTCCAACGCCGGCCCATGCCGGCCTTTTAGGGCCCCACACTGACCTCTGAGGGCCCCATGCTGGCCTGTAAGGACCCACATTAGCCTCTGAGGGCCCCCGCACTGGATTCTGAAGACCCAATGCCGGCCGCTCAGGGCCCGCATCAGCGTCTGAGGGCCCATCTTGGCCTTTGAGGGCCCTCCGCTGGCCTCTGGGGTTTAATGCCGGCCCATGCCGGTCTTTTAGGGCCCCACACTGACCTCTGAGGGCCCCATGCTGGTCTGTAAGGACACACATTAGCCTTTGTGGCCCCCGCACTGTATTCTGAAGACCCGATGCCGGCATCTAAGGGCCCGCATCATCCTCTGAGGGCCCATCTTGGCTTTTGAGGGCCCTCTGCTGGCCTCTGGGGTCCAACACCGGCCAATGCCAGTCTTTTAGGGTCCCATTCTGACCTTTGAGGGCCCCATGCTGGCCTGTAAGGGCTCACATTAGCCTTTGAGGCCCCCTGGATTCATAAGACCCGATGCCGGCCTCTAAGGGTCAGCATCGGCTTATGAGGGCCCATCTTGGACTTTGAGGGCCTTCTATTGGCCTCTGGGGTCCAACGCCGGCCCATGCCGGTCTTTTAGGGCCCCACACTGACCTCTGAGGGCCCGTGCTGGCCTGTAAGGACCCACCTTAGTCTCTGAGGGCCCGCACGGGCTTCTGAAGACCCGATGCCGGCCGCTCAGGGCCCGCATCGGCGTCTGAGGGCCCATCTTGGCCTTTGAGGGCCCTCCACTGGCCTCTGGGGTCCAACACCGGCCCATGCCGGTCTTTTAGGGTCCTATTCTGACCTTTGAGGGCCCCATGCTGGCCTGTAAGGGTTCACATTAGCCTCTGAGGGCCCCCCACACTGGATTCTGAAGACCCGATGCCGGCCTCTAAGGGCCCGCATCGGTCTCTGAGGGCCCATCTTGGTCTTTGACGGCCCTCTACTGGCCTCTGGGGTCCAACGCCGGCCCATGTCGGTCTTTTAGAGCCCCACGGTAACCTCTGAGGGCTCCATGCTGGCCTGTAAGGACCCACATTAGCCTTTGAGTGCCCAATTCGGTCTCTGATGGCCTCAAACGGCCCTTTGCAGGCCCTGTACTGGTCTCTGATGGCCCTAAACTGGCCCCTATGGGCCCAAACCAGCCTCTAAAGGTCCCACACCGGCCTTTGATGGCCCTATTATGTTCTCTGGGGGGGGGGGGGGGGGCTCAAGCCTTACTTTGGGCGTCACGCACTTGCCTCTGAAGGCCCACATCAGCCTCTGGGGCCCTACCTGGGGCCTTTGAGGCCCTTCGCTGACCCTTGGGTCCAACGCCAGCCTCTGGGGGGTCTGACACCGTACTCTAAGGGCCCCATTGCAGCCTCTAGGCGATAGGTATCGCCGAAGCGCTATCGATGGGCCCATAAGTGTAGGAACCATGGGTGCAGTGGGCGCAGTTGCACCAACAATAATTCTGCAGTGGGTGCAGACAATGTATTCTGCATCTACAGTAATCTGGAACAAAACCCCCTTTTCTCAGCAACACTACTTTCCATGCAGCACGACAAATTTAGGATATTTGGCCCACTATACATCTTCCGAAGTATTGGCTACTGTAATGGCCTTCAAAACTTACATTTGTGCTCAAGTAAAAACAAAAAAGATGAAACGGAACACATGTGATTGAACAGTGAACAGATACCGATGACCCACTGTCAAAAGTTTTAGCACGATGATCTTAGAAAATGGCAAAGTTAGCCGCGCCGCCTTTACTTTTGCGGTAGTCCATTCACAGTTGCGTGAATTATTGACAATATCAATGTTTCAAAATGCACTTATCGGTACCTTTTCGACATGGTACACCCTCAAAGCTCGCATTTCGCAATGAGCCTCCTCTCGGGTGCCGCTCACTACCCCCCCCCCCCCCCCGCTTCACCGGCCATGGCCTGGATTTCTGCACCCGTGCACTACGTCCGTGGGCCCCTTTTAGCTAGCACCGGGCCCTCCGGGTCAGCGCAGGGGCCCCTTTGACAAGTTGGCCCCCCCCCCAAACTCCAAGTCTGCGACCGCCCCTGGAAGCAAACCACCTGGACCTAGGAAAATTTACTAACGAAACCATGTGTTACTTACAGCAAGTAAACATGGCATAATTCACACAGAAAGAATTGATAACCGTATAGTTTTAATCTTGCAGACGTCAGTAAGGTCAGAATCGTGACAAGCCTATTGGAAAATATAGGTAATGAACTGTGTCCTGCTTCGAGAAAACGAGTCAAAACCACCCAATTCTTTCTGAATTACGTCAGATTATCTGATCTGTAAGCACCCAGGTGGCATTTACTGACAGGAGCACCGGGAAGGATCATCTGAGGCGAGGCGAGGTCATCAACAGTTTTTAGCCAATAAATCACGACATGATGGGGCTAAATAGTTGTTAGTGTACCAAACCGTTCGCCTGGTCATGACGCGTCGATTGGTACCCAGCGTGACTTTCCTAGGTTAGATTTTGAAGTTGACCTATCTATGTAGGTCGTTATAAACCATGTTATTTGTTATGACCTCTGGCGACCTCAATATTGACCTGACCCAAAAAAAAGTTGTTTACAAAAGTTGTAAGTCGTTCAACGAACTATCAAACGCCCTTGCCGTTTGTCGCTACGATTCGTGCTTTTCGAGTTCTGACGGGGGCCAGAAAAGGCCCCCGCCCGATTCAGAGTCTTTCAGAGCCCGCCCGGAATACGGTTAAGCGCTTGAACGATATATGATAATACACCAAGTGTTACTCTGACCGTCATCCAGTATCCTCCCATTCCTCGCAGATCCTCCCCCTCCTGCTGCGGTCCGGCCGCCGCCGGCGCCCGAGTTTTTTTTTTGCCCGTTATCATGCCACTCGGAGACTTGTGATATGCGTATGTTTCTTACCGCTGCAGCCTGCAGCGGTAAGAATAAAGAAACATACCAGTGCGCTTGCCATATGAAAGCTGAACAAAAGTAAATGCATTATGTTGTATATGTAATTGTGTAGGCATGAGACCCTCTGTAGAAAGGAGGCCCCTTTAGGGAGGAGGCCCCCTGTAGAAAGGAGGCCCCCGGGATTCCTCCGCCCCTCCCTTGGCCAAATCCTAGCTACGTGCCTGAACAGAAGCTTCTTATCCTAGGAAAAATAAAATGGGAAATCTTTCAAAGGTGGCACACTACCTTTAAGTTTGCACGTAGGTTATAGGAACAAAGGCTTTTGAGACGAAACTACTAGGATGATACAGTTTGATACAGCACTTAAGCCTTAATACAGCACAATTTATGTCTGACAGAGTACAGACTTATATATACAGGCAATGCATGATCATGCAATTTTACTCTGTTTGAGACCAAATCTATTTAGTGGTGGTGTTCCAGCTTCCCGCGTTACGAACCGAAAACCTGCGCCGCATTTCTAGCTTAATTTGTTCTCTGAAAAGGTTTGTGCTAGTGCAAACAGAAAGTCGGACATTTTAGCCACTTGTGAGCCGAATCGCGTATAGGAGCATGTGCCTTCTTCAGTGATTTATCATACACATGTTTCGCCGGCGATAAACAAAGCCAAAAAAGACGCCAACAATAGTTAGTCCCGACGCTAAGATATTATTGGAGCGTTTTTTTTTAACCATCGCCCAGTGACTGAAGAATATTAAAGCTGATCATGGGTAATTTGCGGAACTGCTAATTTTTGTGTACATCTTGTGGGTTTTCTTGCAAACACAAACTACAGGTAATGAGGATTGCCAAATCAATAATTTGATGAGTGGTGAATGAAATAGTCTAGTAATAAGTGGAAAGTTTGATCCATTCCACCAATGCTGCATTGACTTAAAAAATTCCTTTAATTTAAAAACGTGTTTTTTGGTTAGGAGAAGTGCAAGAAATCAAAATGGTATCGGTAAAGCTGGTGTCACCGTCGCCACTAACCGGTAAATCAGTAGGCGGAACTATGGTCAAGCGTACCCATTTTCGGGAATGCATTTTCGTTCCCATGTTTGGGAACGATAAACCCAAATATGGGAACGCCATGTAGGCATTATTTAAAACAAGAAAAAGAACCGTTAAATGACGTCCAAAAAATATAAAACGATCGTGAACCGCCTGATATTTGTCTCAATATTGTTGGGAAAGAGTTTGATATTGTAAGACCCATCGTAGTTTCAAATCGTTCCCCTATTTCTAAAGCAGTCCATCATCCGGGCCGCGAGCCCAAATTTGGGAACGCTCTCGTACACTGGCGCTGCAAGCGTTCCTTATTATGGGAACGGCGTACCCAAAATTGGGAATGATTTCACCGACGCCTTTCAGGGGCTCTTTTCATTAACAAGCATCACGTCCAACGCCGCAAATTATTGTTAACGCAACAATCATCAGATGACCTTTCCGGCAAGACCGTCGCATGTTTCGCCCGGTCTTCTGCGCTTTTATTCCCGTCGATCTCGCAGCGGGCATGCCCCCCCCCCTCTGCAGGATTACGTAATTCACAACGCTCAGCGATGTTCAACAAGGTCTTCCATACCTATATCCACCGTCCGCGCTGAGGGTGGAGACATGTCAAGCACCTGTCTGTTTATCACCGATAGTTGACGAGTACAAGGAAGTATCCAAAAATGGGAACGCTGAATATGTTACACCCTCAAAACACCTAGTCCCAATGAAAATCTAGTTTTTTCCTTTCTTGATGAGTGTAAGTGGCAAAAGGCCTGGTAGGATAAGCACGAGGAATTATCGAAATCAGCATAAAAATTATAAATAAGCCACACAGAGCGAGCTATATAGCAGAAATTCCCCCAAAACGATCACGCTTAGAAACACGGAAGACAAAAACCACGCTCATGACGCTCCTTATAAAACAACTCTAAACAGCTAGCATCCAAATAAAATATGTCTTTCCGGGATGATAAAATACAGCTGGATAATTTTCAACCGCTTAAACTGAGTTTACAACAGTAGCTCGGTAAATTCACTCACGTTCCACGCGGTCGTCCGCCCCGACACAAAAGTCAACAATATTACCTCGGGACCGTTCGCGTCTTCGCTTGCATTTGTCAGCATCTGGTGTCGATAGTATGAAAGTTCATAACCAGGCGAAAATTATTATACTTTACCTCAAACTAAAAAATGCTTCATTTTCCTTAAAATTGCATGTTAAATGTCGTATAACCCATATTTCCACCATTCTGTCATTTTCAAAAAATCATTAAAAATATCATTCCACGGTCAATTTCCTTGTTCCACGGTCAGATTAAAGATAACTTTATGGAGATTTAGTAGATACTTAAATCAGCGTGCACTTTTTTGAGACGTGATGCACTTTTGAGTTTTAGTGGGAGAACGGCCGAAAAATTGCCTTCCGTTCTCATAAATGGGAACGCCCGTTCCCATATTTGGGAACTCCGTTCCCAAAAATGGGAACGTTCCTATATTTGGGTACTCATGACCATAGTTCCTCCTACTGAAATGTGTAGATGAAGCTAGAGTAAAAACATAATCTAACCTGACCTAACCTTAGCTAACCAACCTGCAACCTACCATTTACCAACCCACACACCTAAAACCTACCTTTAGGGTAGGTTGTACCATTGTAGCCTGTAGGTAAGGTTAGGTCAGGAAAGTTAGGTGTGTTTTGGTCTACGTCCTGTCGTCTCTATCTGGCATCTTCCAGCCTGGGACACCAGGCTTACTTAATACCTAACCAGTAACCTACCTACCTACCGGCTGCCGCTGACGGTGACACCAGTTAACTGATGCCTGAGAAATCATCTTTATAATGAGGATACTGTTTTTAAAATTAATCATGTAAGGAGCGATTGAACTTTTATGTTTAGTTGAGTTTTGTTAGCTTGGGTTTGGTTGGTTTATATCAGGTTAGGTTAAGTTTTAAATCAGGTTAGTTAAGTTTTTGTTATGTTAGGCTAGCAATTGTAGCATTTTTCACCTGGGTTCAGGTTTTGGCACCTTTTGTGTCTGGCCAAGAAATTCAAGCCACATTCCTTGTTGATTTTCACACTTAATTCACATATCTTTCTGATTTGTGCTCAGTTTATGTGGAAATTGTGTCTATCAAAATGAGCATACTATTATGATGTCACTTGATGCAGCTGTCACCAAATGTTATGATGATGGCACAATGTTTCAACAACTCTTAGGAATGCTTCACTTTTTCAGTGTCAACAACGTCATAATTGAGTAAGTAAGCAGTTCCGTGCATTGTAATTATGCATTAAATGTACCTAGTGCAGGATACACACCCACAGCATGACTGTTCTTATATTCAGTTCCAAAATAGGTATATGGAATTAATCAGGATTAATTCTTATGTTTCAGTTAAATGATATTCAATTTTCTCAGGCTCAGTTTTTGCTACTTTGTGCTGTTTTTTGCTGGTTAAACCATATGATTAGTCAAAACTTGTACTCAGAGCCAAACTACTAAGGAAAAAATGGACTATGCACCTGTTGGCTGTTGTACCCTGAAAAGGTGTCTTAGGATTGCCATCTCTATACTAGCTGGCAGGACATGGGTGGAAGTCCACTAACATCCATGCATGAGGCATGCAGTACAAAGCTATGCTGCATGGTCCTGAACATGCGGCATATAGAAACTCTAGAAGAAAGCTGTTCAAGGCTATGGAACTATCAATGACTTTGTATTGAAATAGCTTTGAAATATCATTGGGTTCTGAATGGAATACCATTGCTTCAGTAATGTAAGCACTTCCTACTACTGAACTCTGAAGCAAAAGGTACATGTCGAGATGGATGGCAATAGGTGCTTCTCCTTTAGTCTGTTGCCTACCACACAGGGCCAGTCACCACCAGACACCTGCCTCTCTGGTTCTCAGGAACCTGCCCCGGTGCCTCTCAGGATGCCGAAGAGGAAGCGCCTGAGCAGCAGCCACGACGACGACGAGGAGTCTGTGACGTCAGAGTCGAGCTCGGCGGCCCCCAGCGCGGCCGGCATCGGCACCCGCAAACGGCGCCGCTGTGGCACCGTCTCGGTACGGCGGGGAGGGGACGGGTCGGCCCCTGTGTAGTGTGTAACTCACGGCACCCGCAAACGGCGCCGCTGTGGCACCGTCTCGGTACGGCGGGGAGGGGACGGGTCGGTCCCTGTGTAGTGTGTAACTCACGGCACCCGCAAACGGCGCCGCTGTGGCACCGCCTCGGTAGGTCTGAGGAACGGGGGAAAGGTCGGTCCCTGTATGACTCACGGCACCCGCAAACTGCACCGCTATGTCATCGTATCCGTACTTCGAGAGCTTTTGGATCGTTTTTGCTATGATGGGTAGATGGTCTATAAAAAATGGTGCGGTTAAGTGAAACGATATAGGGTCATCATGCTCGCGAAAAGTGGTGAGATAAATTATCCTTCCCACCTTCACATGGGCACTGCTGCTTTCCAATATTCACGTGGACAATGTAAAACATTTCACAGTTTGCAGACACGGAATGTGGTACCAACATTGCTCCGAACTACGAATAACTGCTGTGCCACTCTCGATGATCTATTGCCATGTTCTGGTACAACTCCGGGCCTTATTCAGTCTCCGTCACAGCGTGACATTTTAACCGTCCCGTTCGGTGTTTGCACCGATGTTCATTTGAATAACCCACATATTCATGATCGATGGTTTGGTCTCACGGCTAGCATTTTGCATTTTTTCTGTTTTGTTGCCTTGCAGTTCTGTCTGACCAGTATAACATAGCATGTACTATATATAGTCCGCCACTGGACGATGCTTTTCGTTCTTCAGCTGGAATCCGCAGCGGCCTCTCTTATATCGCCATTCATCTATCATTCCGTCCCCCGTCTATACCCCGTCCGTTCCTCTGAGCACCACACGGCCTTGCTGACCGATCCATCCATCCTCCCACGGTGCCGCCCGTAACCCGTCTGCCTTGCCCGTCCGTTACACCCCGCAGTCGCGGCTGGATTTCCCTGATTGACGCCGAAAAACGCGCGCTGTGGAGCGGTCTGCGGCCGTAGGACGGTGTCCTGGCCGGTTTCACTCTCTGCAGCGTGTGTACAATGGTCCCGGGCGTCCACACCGAGAGAGCGGTGGCCCCGAGCCGTTCCCGGAGACGACTTTTGCGTCGGCCCGTTTGAGAGATGCATCCCGGGGCGGATTTGGCGGCTGTGTTTTGCCCGGCGGTGGGCCATTGTTACTCTGTTTGTGGGATGCCGCACAGACAGCTGATCATGTCTGTATGTCCGCGGGGATGGTCTCCACGCTGGTCAGTCACCGCACCATCCCGGGTAGACTGTACGCTGACGTGTGGTGATGTTTGATGTCGGTGACGTTCGCTGATGTTTGCGATGTCCGTTGGCTGGATCATGTGTATGATAAATAAGTAGCGAGTGGTGTTAGGCACGCTTCATGATTGCGGTAGTTGTGATATAGGGTCACTGAACGGTGAACACTGTCACACTGCGCCGCTCTTGTCTCTCGTACACCTATGAATGATTGGTTGGGAATAGAGAACTCGCCTCGGTGATCCAGAAAGAGTTGTTGGGCTAGGTTGTTATTTAGCGATAGGTTTATTGAGATTTAAGTGAAGCCTTATTTTTATAGGTAGCGAATGCTACTGTGTACTTCATGATTTACACAGAGAGTGACATCAGGGTCTTAATTAAAAAAAAAAGATGAAGCAGTAATAGCCGAAACAAGCAGCGATGACCCGGTTTGGCTCCTTTATCGCTCATTAGGTGATTCTGGTGACCATTTCATCGTTTTTGAAATGTCATTAGACAAATCACCGTTGCTTATCCTTTAGCGTACATATGTTTTTGAATAGCTCGATTCGCCTGATGTGCTGACCAGTCTCCGTATCTCTGGCCGTGATTGCAGCAGGAGCAGCTGAAGCAGCTCCTGGAGGCCGTCCTGAACCACAAGCGGGCCGATGGGTCGTTTGTGTCCGAGACGTTCTACCGGCTGCCCAAGAGGCGACTCAACCCCGACTACTTTGAGGTGAGCAACTGAGCAGGCACATACGGCGTGAAGATGAATGCAGCTAAACAAAATATAGTACTTTATGTAGATATTCCATGTAGTAGCGGGAGGATGATTAACACTTTTTGTTATGTTATTTATTTGCTTTTGAAGTATGGCCTTTTCCTAAACGGTTTTACGAACTCAAAAGAACAATATCGTCCATCGATCATATTTAATCCCTTATGCGAGTCGGATGATGTTGCATCTCATCTGCCACACCCATGCCCCATCTCTTTGTAATTTCCCTTGAACAATCATATGAGGATATGTGAATGGCGCTTACATTAGTTCTGGCATGTCCGGAATAGTCATCTTGTCTTAAATCTTTCTACTTAGCGGTGTTGGGGAAAGCTCGACAGCCAGCACACGCCTTTAATCCCGTTGCGAGGTATGCCTTTGTTACCATGTCGCGATCTCCGCCGCTCGAAGTCCCGTATCGTCTGCCCTGAACATGGGTTCACCAGGCTCTGAATCGTTTCACAGACGGTTCAGAATCCGATCGACTTTGCCAAGATCCAGGTGAACCTGAACACGCACCAGTACGATGATCTCAGTCAGTTGGCGTCTGACATTGAACTGCTGGTGGAGAATGCCAAGCAGTACTACCCGGTGAGCGGAGGGAAGGGGGTAGTGTGTGCACTCATATGGTCGTTTACCGTCCGCTGTCAGAGATGATACGGTATGAGTTGTGCTGGAAACGACGATCTCTTGTAAGTCAGACCCGGCTCAGTGTGTTCTTCCTAGACCCCAAGTCATCACTGCCATGTGAGAGCTGTTTATGTCTATTGTCTTACATTTTCCGTTTCGTGTATTGACCCGCCTTTCTACTCCTTCATAGCGCTCCAGTCGGGAGTACACGGACCGTGTTGTGACCCCGTCCCTACCTCTCCCTCAGCGTTCCAGTCAGGAGTACACGGACCGTGCTGTGACCCCGTCCCCTACCCCCCTCAGCGCTCCAGTCGGGAGTACACGGACCGTGTTGTGACCCCGTCTACCCCCCCCCCCCTCAGCGTTCCAGTCGGGAGTACACGGACGCTGTGGCGCTGTGGAATGCCTTCAACGAGCACCGCGCCGCCATCGTGCCAGAAGAGGCACTCTCGGAAAAGAAAGACGACGAGAAGCCCGAAAAGATCACACTGCGGATCGGCAGAATGGTGAGTCCGCGTCCGGTGCTGGGCAGAATGGGGAGTCCGCGTACGGAACTGGTACTTGCACGGCATCGAGTCAACAACACTGATGAAATATACTTTGCAAAAAGGCGAGTTTGGGAAAGTACTTACGGTGTGTTAGATGCGCACTGTGCACTGTGCTTGGGCAGGTGGGCAAAATTGTTGGTACGATACTGAGGGAAGTCTACTTACCAGTGGCTGCTAGCGTGCCTTTATTGCGAATCACCAGCTAGTTACATCACAGCCTTACGATGATAATGACCGCTTCTCCGCATCTGAAGTATAATTACTGACACACGGAGTAACTATGACGACGGGAGACTGCTGACAGAATATTTGGTATGCAATGTACACGACGCTGGACAGAACAAATACAGTATTATACGCTGAAACATGTCAGCTAGTTCGCCAGTCCAGTCTAAATGACGACTTTTAATCGTTTTGGGCCGATCTTTTGAACTACCGGCTTCACCACGGAACACTGATCAGAACACAGACTGACAAGTGACAAACATAACTGCAGGCACATCCACAGCTGACACTTAGTCCCCGGCAGTTTACTGGGCCTGCTCTTTGGCCGGGTACAGGTCCACGATCTTCCCTCCCTCGGGCCGCACGGCTCGCCTGTGCACGGTCATGGCACTGGTGATGCCCAAGGACACGGCCAGCGTCACGCCAAACACCACCGACATGGTGATGACGTCCACGAACGTGTTGGTCGGCACGCCGTACAGCTGCACCACCAGCTCCAGCTCCCGGCGGCAGAACGTGCTGCCGTCCACGCCGGCGTTGGAGAAGCGCAGCCGCACGAACGGCAGGCAGGCGCTGTACTGGCCGCAGTGCCACTTGATGCCGTTCAGCAGCGGGTGCGGGAACACCGGACTGTCCAGCAGCTCGTCCGGAATGTTGACGTTCTCGTCGCTGACGGACGGCGCCCAGATGCGGTCGACCAGGCTGCGCCGCCGCTCGGCGCTGTCGAAGCGAATGGCGTCGGGTCGGTAGCCGGAGCCCAGCACGGTCATGGTGTAGTTTCCGGTGAAGTTGCGCGCCTGGTAGGTGGTCCAGTCGAGCAGCACCAGCCGCGGCTGGAACACGTCCGAGTAGAGCAGGCACGGCACGCCGCGGTCGCACAGACACCGCGGACACTTGTCGTCCAGCGCCGCTGCGCGGAACGTGCTGGTAAAGTTGAACAGCAGCGTGGTGCTCGGAGGGCAGCCCACGGCCACACGCAGCGGCACTGGAGGATGCCGACGGCACTCGCCGCTCCTCTCCCCGCCGCCAGAGCCGCCCTGGATGTCCAGTGAGACGGACACCCAGCGGAGTCCCTCCCCGGGCCGGCGCTGCGTCTGGAGCGCGTCAGGCAGCGGCCGCACGGAGGCGGTGCACCTCTGCCAGCCGTCCGCTGCCGCGTAACAGTCGACCCCGGCCTGCAGCAGTCCGCTCGGCTCAGTCACCAGCCGGGCCGTCAGCCGGCCGGGCACCGTGAACCCGAACTGCAGCTCGTCGCCGCGGTCCAGGTAGACGGCGTGCGGCAGCGCCCGGATACCGGCGCCGTCCCGCTCCGGCACCAGCTTTTCGTAGCTGTCCGGCGGGATGTACACGCTGCCCGGCTCGCTGAAGTAGAAGAAGCGGGCTGCGCGGTCGAGCAGCCGTGCCCGCTCGCGCATCCGCTGCATGGGACTGGCCAGGTGGTCGGAGGTGATGTTCTGCTGCTGCTCCCGCTCCAGGAACTCGGTCTGCACGAGCTGCACCAGGTACCGGTAGCCGGCTAGCACGGCCGGCGGCGGCAGGTCTCCCGGCCACCGCTCGGTGACCGCAGGCGGTGGTGAGAGGTGCAGCGGGGGGCGCAGTCGGACCCTCTGCAGCCGAGACAGCCGCGTCGCCTGCGTGCGCGAGATGAAGGAGCTGGCGCGCGCACCCAGACAGGAGAGGTCGAGCGCGGCCAGCGGAGGGTCGGTGCCGCTGCCCGGGTCGCCGCCGTCGGGGCCAGTGGCGAAGTTGAAGTTGCGCCGGGAGGCGGCTATGTTGACGGTGCGCGCGGTCTGGACGGTGAGCCGCGGCGCGAGCAGCGGCAGCGGGGCCAGGAACGACACGGCGCCGTCCCCGGTGTCGGCCGGCACGGGCACGGCCTGCAGCAGCAGCTCGGTGGGCCCGGCCGCCGGCGAGTCGCCGCTGACACTCAGCTCGGGCAGCTCGCGCTGCGCCAGCAGCCGGCGCAGCAGGCGCTGGCGCAGCACCGGCCCGCTGGCGCCGCCGGCCGCCGCGCAGCGCAGCTGCAGCCGCAGCTGGAGCCGGAAGGCACGCAGGTCGGGCCGCAGCGAGACCAGGCCGGAGATGTTGCCGATCTGCTCTGCCGGCAGCAGCTGGAAGTAGCTGCGCGCAATGCTGAACTCGGTGCTGGAGACGTTGAAGGCGACGGTGCGGTTGGCGGCCGCGCCGGCCGGCCCCTTCGGTGGCAGCTCGGTACTGGCGTTGGCTGGATGCTGCTGTACGCCATCGACGTTTTCCATCATGAAAATCCAGTCGACCCCAAGAGTCGTTGGTTCAGGGTATTCGTTTGTGTTTGAGTCACTTTCTTCGCTTGTTGCTGTCGTGGGGGAGGGGCTCTCAGTTGTAGTGTTTGCTAAGGTCATTGCTTCGTTCTGTGGGCTGGTCTGGACGTGGTCGGTTTGACTTTGAGTTGATGCGTAAGTCAGTGTGATTTTCTCGCTGTCAAGATCCACTTCTGGCCTGTCGAGTTCCACCTCTGATACCTCGTCTACGACCGATATTTCCCAGTCACATACCGCCTGCTGCTGCAAACACAGACAGCCATTGAGGCAAAAATAAATCCAGCCCAGTACGAGCCATATAGACATTGCGAGTTTCGACTAATTGCGCGTTTTTCGCGCCCTCTGTGCCCAAAGACACAAATTATTCGCACACAAAATTGTTGGTTAAAATTCAATAGGCTTCATATGACTGGAACCTGGATTGGGGCTTCTGCAAGATTTTTAAATGCGCGTTTCTTGCAAGCAATACCATGCGAATCCAGCACGTGCATTCTTGAATATCGAACCGAACGTGCACAATTCGTGTGGCTCTTCTCGCTCGGCCTCGGCACGAGCTCGTTATCTTATGTGTATACAGAGCTGAGTGAATGGCACGGACATGCCGAGACGTTAGGCATGGTATGTGTTACGGATGTGTCGAAAGGGTAAAAAAGGGAGTGTGTGGAGTTCCCACATGTAATCCTGCCGTGTCCGCGTAGAGCCCTCGGCCTCAGCACATTCAGTTCTGATTACTGGAATAGAGCAAACATACCTATCGCCTCAGGTATCACGTCTTCGAGTTGTGTTTTAGATGTTACACTGTCTTCAGGATAGCCCGAACATTGGCGTTAGTTAATGCATATCAGATATCGCGTCTCGCGTCTTCCACCGAACCCGGGCCCGGGATCTGGGGGTGGCTGTTTATCAGTCGAGGCATATAGACTCTTCGTTTATTTTGGAGAGGATCTTGTCGATGAGGATCTCTCTTTGTACTTCGAGTTTATAGTTTGCCGTGTGTGATGTGTCGACACTGACAGTCTCCTGTCAGTTGTGGTTAGGAATTGCTGGCTGACGTAGATGACCATGACAGAATAAAAACATATGCCTTATGTACATATGTGCATTTTCGTGGTTTCAGTATGCTGACCTATTTATTTTCTTCTTGAGATGCATTGTATGCGGTATCACGTGCATCTTGGTGGACCCGATGTTTCGCAAGACATTGTTTTGGGATTAGTATTATCTCCACGTGTGAGCTGACATTGAAAATCGCACCTTGGAGCTGGTCACCGGTGCCGGCCTGACCGCCCGAACCGGTCGCTCGGTGCGTCTCCGCCTGGCTCCGTCTCGCTCGTGCCGCGCTAAACCCATGTAAACCAGCGCCGAGTGCCGGGCGGACGGCCGTCGGGCGATCCGGCCCGGTATGTTAGGGGGACGCGTCACGCCGGGCGATGCATCACTGCAGCACAGCTGGTGACGCTGGTGCACCAGTCACAGACTGGCGGAATAAACCCGCCCGATGTCGGCCCGCCGGGTGGGGAGATCGCCGAGGGCGGCTCGCCCAAGGGTGTGAGCCGTGCGCGCAGATAATTGTGAATACATTCGATAATTACGAAGATGTTTAGTGACAGCGGACTGGGTCTGATATGGCTGGGCGACCTGCACGTCAGCTATGGAGGCTCTGGCCATCCGAGCTGCCAGTTTCGGGAAATAGCGATCCCGCAGCGGTAACGTTCGGATAAAGCTGCCAGTTTGTTGAATCATTTGTTATGCTGGCGTGCATTGCTTTGTTCCGAATCACCTGGGTTTCATCCAGTCTTCCATCACTTAGTCAACATTGCCTTGTCACATACCGACTGATGCCTGGAACATAAAATACCTCCTGCCTCCGCCGTGCGGTCTGCACCAGGGTCCTAAAACTGTGTCCGCACTGATGTGTGTCCTGAACGGACTGACGGAGAATGTTGTAATACCGCTGGTCGGCAGCGGGTCCGAGTATTCGGTACTGCCGACCCAGACACCTCTCACCCTCGGGAGGCCTGGGTGAGTCATTTTTGACGTCGGACGGCTTTGGTGACTCATCTTCGACGTCTGGACAGCTCTGGTGGGTCGGCGCCTTGGTTCACGGCCGTTCACGGTCACTGGCGGTGTCCGTGTGATGTCTGTCTCAATGTCGGGATGTCGGTGACACCGTGTGTCAGCTGGGCGCGGGTGGCACCGTTACGGATCTCAGGCGGTCGGACATTCCTGGCGGCACCTCATCCGTCGGCGCCGGACGGAGGACTTGTCAGCGCCAACGGGTCTCCCAGAGGTGCAGTTACAGGCCGATTAGCCGAGGACCGGTCACGGTACTCAGAATGCGTGCTAAACGGTACATCAGGCATAGGTGGTGTCGGCGTCAGAGATTCATCATGTGTTCCGTATCATATCGGGATCGGCGGAACTGTGAACAGAGAACCTGCGTCGCTCTGGTCAGATGTGAGATGAGATGCTGTTTCCGTTTCACGACAATGATAGATAATTTGGTAGGTGAAGTCAGCGATAATTTGGTAGGTGAAGTCAGCGCCATCCTTCCCTGGCTTGCGTTGCTCCATTCCTACTGAAAACGCGGGCGTGAGATTGAGAACTCACGCCCGTATTATAATAAACTCCTCCGTCTATGCATCTTTTCGAATGCCCTCGCCAAACCCCCGTCTATTTAGATCTGTCTGCCGTCCGTCGCTAACGCCTTCCGTCCGCTCGTGTCCACCCTCCGCCTCGAACTAGCCACCCATTTTTTCTATCTCCGCAGCACCGCCGGGGCTCGGAACCCACCCTGCTGACCACGGCTCTTTGTTCTCAGCACCGCCGGGGCTCGGAGCCGACGCCGCTGACCGGTGACGAGGAGTCGGAGGCGGGCAGCTCGGCAGCGCCCCGCTCCGAGAGCAGCAACTGGACCCCAGGAGGTCAGATGGGCCGCCCAGTCAGCGGGGGCCATTGTGGGGCTGCTCAGTGTAGACTGGGGGAGGATGGCTGTGTCATTTTTTAGCCGATGTTTTTTTATTTAATTTTATCGATAGTTAACACTGATCTGATATTCTGAGAACTCAGTGTGTTCATTGAGTGCTGCTTAACTGTGTTCTTGGATGATGAATCAAATAGTGTTATTTTTTAACTGCATGAAATCATTACAACCGGTTGTTAAGAAGCTGAACGATATAAGCTTTTTAAATCAACTCTGATTTCAATGAAATCATTCCAACGGAAATTTGTATCGGAAATTATGTATCCCTCTAGCGGCGGTCGCATGTTTTTTATCAATGATGTCCTTTCTCTCTATCGCCAGCAGTAAGTAATTCTTAGAAGTTCTATTTTACCACCCTCTCACACTCCTCTGACTTTCCTCTCTGCCTGTGCCGACCAGAGGTCCTCCCGCTGCGCTGTCCTGCGGAGTCTCCGGATTCCCCCAGCTCCCGGTCCGCTCCGCCCTCAGGCTACCCGCGCGACTTCGGACACCGCTCCACCAGCCGCTCCCGACGGAAGAGCTCCGCTTCCTCGGCCCTCCTCAGCGCCATGCTCAAAGCCAGTCCGCCGCCGTCGCCGCCGCCAACTCTGTCGCCGCCGCATGCTACGTTTGTGATGGGCGCTGCCGACGGTCCGCCTAAACTGGAGAGGGAAGTGGGGACGGGGACCGAGGTCGGCGCGGCAGAAATGTCGGAGCTGACGAGCGGGGATAATGGTTACAGTGGAGACCCGGAGAATCCGGTGGGTCAGAAGGGTGATGCTGGAATCGCGGACGAGGTGGATATTAGTGACAGAAGGGCTGGTAGCTTGTGCATGGACGACGAGTATGAGGATGAAGACCATATTCTCGGCTTGAGCTCGGATTTTGACATCGAGTCGGAGGGTTTGACCTTAAATTCGACTCTTGATATCAAGATGGAAAGTATCGCGCAAACATCGCCGATAGAAGACAACAAAATCCAGCAAGCTTCCGATGTTGATTGGAAAAGCGCGGTGACTGACCCGGCTGAGAGCCTCTCTCCGAAGGCAGAGACTGAGCGTGACCTGGACATCGCGAACAACAATATCAAAGCTGAACGAACACGGAACAAAAACACCGAAAGCGCGCCTGGTGGCACGCCAATGGAGGACGAGCCATCGAGGGCTGACCCAAACAGCATGCCTCCTCCCCTGCTCCCCTGCTCTTCTGAGCCTGGGCGGCCTGGCGCGGACTTTAAGCGGCCCACCGGCAGAATCCTGTACGTGGTCCCGGGCTGGATGTGTCGCGGCGAGTGCCGGCCTCCCGGCAGCCGGACCCGCGGCATGGGCCGTTCCCGAGGCAGGGGCTGGTCCCGCGGAAGTAGCAGCCGCGGCAGAGGTCAGCCTCCCGGCAGTAGCAGCTGCGGGAGGGGACAGCCCCCCTTCAGTACGAGCAGCGGCCGAGGCCGGCCGAGGAAGTACCCGCTGGTCCCGTGCACCTGCGGCGGCTGTGGCGCAGACCCGGAGGTCAGGGTGCTGTACGAAGTCCGCCGGCGCGGTCGGCGACCGTCCACGGTAGCCAGGGCCGCCCGACAGGCCGCCCTGGAGACCGCCGTCCTCAGTCCCAAAGGTCCTGTTCCTGGCATCCGGAGTAGTGCGGGGGTGGGGTCCGTAGTGGGGTCGGCAGTAGTCAGGAGGGGTGCACAGGTGGGGATGGGAGGAGGGGTGTTGGGTGTAGAGATCGCGTTGGGCATGATAGAGTTTTGCTTTGGTAGTTAGGTTGGGTTCGGTTTTGCTGGAAGTTACAGTGGAACGCTTGGCATTGCTTTGCATGCTTTTCTTAGGTTTTATATGAGTTTGCGTTGTTGGTATTATAAAAACTTCTGCAGACATTAATTGTGCAGACTTGACTGTCGATAACTTGTGCATGATTTTTAATGATAATTAAATCAGAATGTCGGTGGCTCTCCGCGGCTCGCTTTTGTTTTATTTCCTACCACAGACAACATGTGAAAAGTCAATAATATCTGTGCGGTGGACAGAAAGCAAAAAAAAAAAAACTTGTGCAATATGAATTTATGATCTACTTGATCACGGTCGAGAGGCAGTGTCAATGTTTAAGCTGCTTGTCATTATCTGTGATAAGCTGCAGTGCAAATATAGTCTAAACAACCGCAAAGACGCCAGAGATGTTGTTACTACGTCAGTAGACATGACACGTTCACTTGACCCTTGTGCCACGTTATTCCGAGTATGGGACGTGTGCAAAGTTTAGTTAACACGTTCTTTGCAGATTACCACGGGCCACGGGCCTTGCTAGCCTTACTTTATGACTGCTCTGTTGGTTGGGTTTGTTTGGGCATCAATCTCGGGTCAGCTACCGTGTGTGATATCACTTGTCCGTCTGGTCCCTATCTACTCCCTGTTGTCTGTACCCCGCGGACATGTGTCTGTCTATGTGCCCTCATACTGTTTCTCTGATCTGTGTCTTTGTCTCATTGCCTCCTGTTGCCCGTCTGACTTATAAGTAAAGTAATCTTGCGTCCCCCTCCCCTTCCAGCTGCCCCTTGCTGACCCGGGCTGAGCCCCTGCTGACACCGACTGTCCCTGGCTGGCCTCACACTGATTGAGCCCCTGCTGACACCGACTGTCCCTGGCTGGCCTCACTTTGACTGAGCCCCGGCTGACACTGACTAAGTCCCGGCTGACACTGCCTGAGCCCCGGCTGACACTGACTGAGTCCCGGCTGACACTGACTGAGCCCCGGCTGACACTGACTGAGCCCTGACTGGCGTCCCGCAGAGCTGGAGGACGCCCTGGAGGAGCTGTTTACGGCCATCGGCACGGCCACCGACCCGGAGGGCCGCCTGCTCTCCACCTGGTTCCAGCTGGTGCCGCACAGAACGGTACGGAGTACGGACCGGCCGGCTGTCAGACTGGTTCCTGTTCCCTCGTCACACTCCGGGAATGGGGTGTTCTTTGGCTGCCTCTAAGTCACTTTGTGTCTAAAAACTGATTTGAAAAAGTGGCAGAATATTTGCATACCCAATATATTCTAATGTTCCAGATAAATTTCCGGATGAATATCCTTATTTGTTGTGATTCGAGGGCGTTTTGTCCTTCAGTCGTAAGATTTCTTGAACAACAAAAGAAAACATTTATCATCCTGGCTTATCACAATGGCATCAGCCCCAGCACTGGCTCCATATTCTGCAACACTTGCGGCACCATATTGAATCCTAAAACAGCATGTCGTTCTTTTTCTTTCTTTCGTATCTTCTGCTTGCAAAATAAGGAACTTAGTTTTTTTGCGAATTATTTCCGGAGAAAGCCCAGCCAATTCTCGATCACCCTGTTTAACTGCATGCCATTGCCTGCCGGTGAGTTTGTAGTGCGACCTGCGCTTCTGTTTCCTTTTGTGTGCGGTGATTGGTACGAATAGTTCACATACACCCAGCAGGTGACTTAGCCCCGGTCCCAGTGGCACCTAGTCGGTAGCCTGCAGTGTTTTGTTCCTTTCGGGCCGGCCGGCGGTAGGCTGCGCCGCCCGGCCGTCCCGACGTTCCGTTTTGTTGCGCTAGCTGCGTTGCCCGGTGTCTAGCGCGGGCGTTTTGTTGCGTTAGCTGCGTTGCCCGGTGTCTGGCTCTGGCTCGGGCGTTTTGTTGCGTTTGATATGTGGCTCCTTGCCTTCTCAGGGCGAGGAGGCAGCTGCGGGTCCCAGTCTTGCCGCCTCGCCCCAACTGCCTGCGTGCCGGTCCGCGGCGGCGGGCTCTCTGCCGACTGACGGCGCCTCAGTGAGCTCACCAGCCCCGCCCGGGCCGCGCGCCCTCCCCGCGCCCTCCCAGACCCTCCCCGGGATCACCCCGACTTCCCCACCCGCCCCGGTCCGGAGAGAGACCGATTGTCGGCGGTCGGCTCTGATCTCCGGGGCCAGGTCACGACCAGAGATTAATTAGGAGATAGGTACTTTTGTCACGGAGACAGACGATCAGTGATCTGATTAGATGGGATTTTGTGTTTGATGACGCACTGGCGTGGTCCTTCAGAGATGCGTGGTGGTTTTATCTTACGCATCGTATTTCATTTTACATTGCGTGCGTGATCATCATATCCATATCAAGTCTACAGTAATCTGAAAGTTTACCGTACTACCTGACGATGGGTGTCATGGGATGATTTTTTACATCGTATATCAGTACCTGCCATTGAACTTTAAATCCTAGGCTAGTTCTCCTTATTACACAGCAGTATAACTTGATAATTTTCCGATAATTAGGCGTCGGTGGGCTTATCGTGCGTAGGCGATCAATGCAGTCATATTTCCTCGCAGTGACTGCATAATTGTTAAACCGACATTCACTTCTCTAAATAAGTTGTCCGATTAAGACGTTTTGCATGTAGTCATTTATCTGTAATGAGGTGTGTGATACAATTCGCAATCACCGCACATTCTTCGTATTGCTGCCGCTTTGGAGTGCAATGACTGATGCTTGTGTGCGTGGGCTTGATGAGACGCTTTCACTGACTCGCTGCTCTAGTGCACAACTGCTGTATTTTTTTCACCTCTGCTACCCCATCCTGTAGTCGTCGCCGTCTCCCGTCCCTCTCACCCCGGCTCTCTGCCGATGCCGCAGAAGCTGCCGCAGTACTACGACGTCATCAAGCAGCCGATGGACCTGAAGATGGTAGCGCAGCGTATCCAGGCGTCCGAGTACAGCTCGCTGTCCGAGCTGGAGGCCGACCTGCAGCTGGTCTTCCGCAACGCCTGCACCTTCAACGAGCCCGGCAGCCAGATCTACAAGGACGCCAAGGTGCTGCGCAAACTGGCGCAGACGCGGCGCGCAGAGATCGAGCACGCCCGGCTGACGGCGGCCAAGTCCAGCGAGAGGATCAGGTGAGGGATGATGAGGGATGGCTAGAAGCGGAAAGATGGGAACGTTAAGAGGAAAAAGCAAGTTTATCTGAAGCTGAATTAGGTTTTGAGACGTATGAAATAGGTATGATTCATTTTGTAATGACAATGTCGATACTCCGGTAGTCCTGAAAAAAAATGGAACCGTCATCGCCACCGTCATAGAAACCGCAGACTCACTCGACTCGCTTGACCCCCTTGACTCGCTTCCCTTACACCGCTAACACCCTCGTTCGCTGCGACAGGTCGAAGCACTTTGGCGGCACGGCGTGCCTCTCTGCCGAGCTGTCACAGCTCACCAGTATGACCCCCGGCCTGTTCCCCCTCCCCCAGGTCGAAGCGCATCGGCGGCACTGCGTGCCTGTCGGCTGAGCTGTCCCAGCTCACCTATGACGAGGACGAGGAGCGCAGCAGCTCGGACAGCAACATGAGCGAGGACAACCCGCTGTGGCAGCTGTTTGACGCCGTGCGCAGCCACACCACGCCCTCTGGTGAGTAGCGGAGACGGACAGCACGCCAACCAGTTAGTGGGGAGGGGTAGTTGCACCGCGCGGGGGTAGTTGCACCGCGCCGCCCGGTGAGTGGGAGGGGGGAGGAGAGGTTTTGGAGGGAGTTAGAGGGAGGGGGAGAGATACACTGCCGCTGCTAGGCTAGTTGACGAAATTTCCGCGCTTTTGCCCCGTTAATGTTTCTGTTCGTTGTCAGTATAACTAACGTGTGTATCTCCATTTTGTAGGTTTCCTGCTCAGTGAGCCATTCCAGACATTGCCCTCTCGTCGGCTGTATCCGGACTACTACGAGGAGATTAAAAACCCCATCGCGCTCCGGCAGATCAAGCGTAAAATGAAGGTACGCCTGTCCGACCACCACCTCGGCGCGTGTCATTGTGTCCATCCGGCACCTCAATGCCGCGCGCGACGGAAGAATGCCTTGTAAAGCGTGATCTTGGTACCCTCGTTGATGTAACAAAACTGGGTCAGATGGATCGTGAACAAAGGAGTTGATTTAGCAAGAATACGGGATTATATACATAATTGTTACCTGAGCCCCGGTGGTTGACACTCGGGATATGTGGTTATTTTTGCATGTTGCGTGTTTTCTAATGTCGTCATCGGTTGCATGTTGAGGTCGTGAACAGGTTATTTGGCGTGTTACAATGTTGACCAGACGTCTTACGTGTAGGATATAAGCGAGTGACCTAGAAATGTTCATGGGCAAATATTGAGCAGCACTTTTTTGCCTGCCTATTGACTCTAAGATGGCTGGAGCAAGCCATTATGTCCTCGTTTTAATCACAACACCGTAAGCGATGAATCAGCACAGACATAGCCTTGTCAGAAATACCAATGTCTATGCCTGAGTCGCTGTGCGGATTCTGCTGTTTTATTAAAACCAGGACATATCAGCTAACCTAATACTATTAGCGGAAGGATGGCTTTACGTGTCGACGATCTGGGAAGCCCAGATCACGAGAGTCTGTGTTCTGTCTCACCTGGCAAATCCGTGGTCGGCAGGACTCGTTGTACTCGGGCATTCAGGAGATGGAGGATGACATGAACTTGATGTTTGAGAACGCCCGCCAGTACAACCCGCCCGACTCCAAGCTCTACAAGGACTCGATCCGGCTGCAGAAGGTGCTGCAGAAAAAGGTGGCAGAGATGTCGGCAGACTTCGACGAGGTAGGGTAGCGCACTTCCGTATCTGGTCGCTGGAAATAGGCTCATTTACGTATAATATGGTCTGATTTGATTATTCACTTATCTAGCTAACCCACTTAACTCATAAACATTGATCTAAAAATACCTTGATATATCACGGATGACTTCTGAAATATTGGCGCTCTAAAGCCCCTAATAATTACCATCATCCAAGCCTCGCGTCGTCCTCCTAAGCCCGTGTCGTCTTTCTAAGCCTCGTCCCTCGTTTCAGGGCGAGGAGGAGAACTCTGAGGAGGACTCGATGCCCCTCCCGCCGGTGTCCACGCGCAAAGCCAGCCAGCGGCGCGACCACCCAGTGAAGGAGCGCTGCAAGCAGCTGTACCGCACCATCCGCGACTATGTCAACGACGAGGGTCGCCAGCTGAGCACCGTGTTCACAGAGCTGCCCAGCCGCAAACTCTACCCGGACTACTACGAAATCATTGACAGTCCGATCGACCTGGCGCGCATCGAGTCCAAGATCCGCGGCGACCAGTACGAGTCCGAGAGCGAAATACTGCAGGACTTCAAGGTGGGTGGAATATACAGGAGAGTCCGAGAGCGAGATACTGCAGGACTTCAAGGTGGGTGGAATATACAGAACAGTGGGAGCGAAATACTGCAGGACTTCAAGGTAGGCGGAATGTACGGGATGGCCGGACGGGGCAGGGAGATAGGCAGGTAAGCTGAGAGATGGGCCTGAAATGGATTTAAGCGTGTTTGATGACTCATTCGCAGTTATTAACGTGTGGATATTCATGTCTTAAATGATAACTATGTCCTGGGGAGGGGTTATGCAGTTTTCCGAGACCTGCCCGGGCTCAGTGACAGGCGAGAGGAGTGAATATGACGTCAGAGCGACGCTAAACAGCGATCGAACAGCTGATAATGACGGAACCGAGTGTCGCGATTGTCAGTTAGAGCCGAAAGACACGGGTGATTTCATGTTCAACATGACATCACATGCCCATCAAATGTCAGTGCTCTGAAAAGCTCTGATAAGCCAATCAAAGCAACGTGTCTTTTACGTCTAATTTTCGTAGACATTTAGTGACAGTTTGGGAATTTTCGTCCATTTTTTACTGCAGTGTTGTATGTTTTTCGTCGTTTTATACAACCGCCCGATGTAGAGAACAGGATCCTGCCTTACCTTATCTGTGAGATGGTCTCTGTTTCGGCATCCTGCGTCAATTACCGTACAGTTCACTATCAGATCCCGGTGCCTATCACCGGGTGCCTCCGCTGCGCCACATCCTTCCGCCGGCCGTGACACCCGCCCCTGCGTCCGCAGCTCATGTTCAACAACTGCAGGCAGTACAACGAGGAGGGGTCCGTCATCTACGACGATGCCAACGTGCTGGAGCGCGTGCTCATGTCGCGTGTGCGCGAGCTGGGGCCGCTGCCCACTCAGGACGGCGCGCGCCACAAGCCGCGAGTGCTCAGGTGAGCGCCGACGGGAGGGCGGGAGTGGGCGGCCGGGCGGGGGTGACTGGTGGTCGGTGGACTGTCCGGGTGGCTGATTAATTAAATGGAGCGCACTGTGCTGGATTTATGGACGTATCACGTAACTACAGTTCTATCTTATGTTGTGATCCGCTTTAGGTCAGCTAATTGACAGTGGCTATCAGTCTAGCTCTGGGTAGATTTGCGTGCGCGACCCCCCCCCCCCCCCTGCTCTGGGCAGATTTGAGTGTGAGCCCTCCTTCCCTCGTTCTGGGCAGCTTCGGCTGTGATCCCTACCTTCCCCCACGACCTTGCTGATGGCCGGGCTGGCTTGCATGACGGACGCGCAGCAGGGACGGATGATATGGGCAATAAGTCACCTGTTAAGCTGACGAAGGAGGATAGGATCAACCGGGTCAGCACCTCAGTTAAGATTGTTCATGAATCCTTTTCTTTGGTCCGATTTGGTTGATTTAGCTATGCTTTCATGAGACGCGGCTGTGTGCTTGAAAATATACAAGAGATTTGAAGTCAACAATAATCAGAACTGCAGAGCTGCATTTTGCTTTTATTGAACATTACTGATGTTCCAATTAATATGTCCCATCATATGCAATTATGCACTAACATTGACTAGGACATAATAATCCCAGAACGGGAGGTATGAACCGCCGTGCCGTCCACCTGCCTGGGTCTGTATTGTGTGTACTAACAGCGGTTCGCACTCAGCTGTTTGCTGATGATGACTGGACTGTCCCATGCCGTCCACCTAATCCTGTGTGCTCTATGTGTTGACAGCCGCGCCCAGCTGGTGGAGAAGATGTGGACCCTGTTCAACACGATCCGGGACCACAAGGACGCTACCGGTCGGCAGCTGTCGCTCATCTTCGTCAAACTGCCCTCCAAGCTGGTCAGCAACCGCAGATACTTCAGTTCAAACACACATTTGAAATACCGTATCATACAGTCGCAGTGTTCTGCCGCGAGCACTTGCTCTTTTTGACTGATAAACTGTGTCTTCCCAACACGGCAGGAGTACCCGGACTATTTCGAGGTGATCAAGAACCCCATCCACCTGGAGCGGATCTCTCAGAAACTGAAGACGGGCACGTACAACACGCTGGACGAGATGATGGCCGACCTGGTGCTCATGTTCGACAACGCCTGCAAGTACAACGAGCCCGACTCGCAGGTCTACAAGGTGAGTAGGGGGTGCTGGGAGCGCGGACTGACAGACGTGTAACTCACAGGTGGGCTGGAAGCAGACCTGTGGACAGAGAGAAGGACAGACGGGACGGGGCGGTCAGTTTTGTCAGTTGTGAGCGTACGGTGGAACACTTGCCGTTGTTGCCGTTTTTTTTTTTTGTATTTGAGACCACCAGCTGGGTGGTGCTGCCACTGTCCAACTGTTTCGTTCAGCCCCCGGTGCCGCTGTGTGACCGTTGCGCCTCGTTTCAGGACGCGCTCAACCTGCACCGTCTGGCGCTGCAGACGAAGCTGCAGCTCACAGAGGACGTCGAGGAGGTGCCCGACGTCAAGACGCAGATCCAGGTGCGTCCGGTCATGGGATATCAGATGTGTGACCTCAGGTGGGTACTGTGGGACATCAGGTGCTAGTAGGATGCCGGTCTCCGGTCGGTGCTGACCGCTAGGATAGCTGGCTTGTGGAAATGTGATGGCTGGTGAGACAGTATCCGTGCCTGGGGAGGCTCATGTGCAAGACTGGGACGGTGCTCGCGGCTGCGCTGAAACCGTCCAGTCAAGAAACTGCTTTACCGTATGCTGACCGTGTACTTCCGTTCTGTCTGTATCCTCAGGAGCTATTTATCGCCACTTACAGCCACCGTGCTGACTCTGTGTCTCTATTCCGTCTTTGTTTTCAGGAGCTGCTGACCTCGCTGTTTATCGCCACGTACAACCACCAGGACGCCGACGGACGCTGCTTTTCCGACTCACTGGCTGAGCTGCCCGAGCACGACGAGGTCGAGGGACAGAGGTATGCATAACAACGCTGCATGCGGGTGTCCCATATTCTGACCCTACGCCGAATGAATAACTGGTTCTACTGTGACAGAAGGTGCTAGTAGATTCGCGGTCCCCGGTCGATAGCTGACTGCTGACTCTATCTAACCCGACCGCAAATTACCGCGCCCGTAAACCCTACCTTGTCCTTACACCCAACACGGGCTGGCTCATCTCTCCTTACCGTGTGGTCTACCATCTAACCTTGATTATGTTATCTGGCCGCCCATCTAACTTCCACTGCTCCCTTCTGACGGTCGCCTTGTCGCCTCCCCAGCCGTGTGCGCGGCATCTCGATGGAGATAATCAAGCGCCGGCTGGACCGCGGCCTGTACACGCGGTTGGACGTCTTCCAGGAGGACGTATTCGCTGTGCTGGACCGGGCCCGGCGCCTTAGCAAGCACGACTCGCAGACGTTCGAGGATGCCTGCGAGATGCAGATGTTCTTCATCTCGTATCGGTATGTTGAGTAACTGGGGAAGGGAAAGTGACGTGGGTCGATGGATTGGAGTTGGAGCCTGGGGTGAATGAGGGGACGTGGCGCTAGGGCCACCGATGTCATGTGATTAATTATAGCGGATTGGTATTAAGTAGCTGGATGGTAGCATATCAAGGTGGCTGGCCATAGTCTTTTTGAAATTTGGAAGTGATCCTCAACATGTTCTCTTAGAACAGCCCGTCGTCGTCTGTGTTGTGTTTATGTGTTTACCCTGTGTATAACCTCCCGTTATATCTGTCTGGGCAGTGACGAGCTGTGCCGGAGCGGCACGCTGCTGTGTTGTGTTTACCCTGTGTATAACCTCCCGTTCTTTCAGTGACGAGCTGTGCCGGAGGGGCACGCTGCTGTGTTGTGTTTACCCTGTGTATAACCTCCCGTTCTTTCAGTGACGAGCTGTGCCGGAGCGGCACGCTGCTCTCGTCTCCGGCGCTCTCCTTCTCCCAGGACAACCTGAAGGAGCTCATCGCCCAGCTCAAACCCGAGGTCAAAAACGAGGAGGACGAGAGCCAGGACGCCAAGGTCGGTATTTCTTATGGTGTGTATCGTAGATCGTTCGCTCGGTATTTTTGCGTTTAAAATTATTACCTTTTTTGGACGTGGCTTACATCATTGATAATTTCAACTTGACATTAGATCAATTGCTCGCCATTGAAAGCAATCGTATGGGCTACAGATTATGATATCATCTCTGCTCTGTCTGACCTGTAGCCTTCCGAGGGCTTGTGACCCTTGGTTTTAAATACGCCTTCGTTCCTCTGGTGCCGCTCACCGCTGACCTCCCGTGCCCCTCGGTCCTCCCGTGTTCTGCTGACCCTCTCCGCCCTCCGTCAGCCGGCGCCGCAGGGGGACGCCATGAGCTTCAACCAGATCCAGTACTGCACCGGCGAGTTCGTCTACGTCGAGCCCAAGGACAAGGGCGTCGAGAAGCACATCGTCAACATCGGTACGATTAGGCGCATGTCGAATCTCCCATAATAGGGGACGCTGAATGGGAATACAGTTGATAGAGCTTGGGCTAGGGCTTGTCAGGACTTTGGTGTTGTCATACCCCCCTTAAAAGTGATGTAAGCAATCAGTAAATTTGGTTGAACATATTTTGTCACTTCAGCTGTTGCTACGAGATATTTTTTTTTTTTAAATCACTCAATTACCTTCAACTATAATCGACTGCTTTCCTCAACCAGGATTGGGTTCCACGGGCGTATTTCCTCCCTGTTACACCCCGAAGGTGGGCGACTGACCCTCCCGCACCACGTGCAGAGCGTCTGTGGACCAACAACGAGGGCCAGCAGATGATGTACGGCTGCTGGTTCTTCCGGCCCGAGGAGACGTTCCACCTGCACACGCGCAAGTTCCTCGAAAAGGAGGTGTTCAAGTCAGACCAGCACATCGGCTGCCCGCTCAGCCAGATCGTCGGCAAGTGCGCCGTCATGTCGGTCAAGGACTACTTCCGACTGCAGCCGGAGGGGTACGCGGAGCAGGACGTGTACGTCTGCGAGTCACGCTACTCCAGCAAGTCCAAGACCTTTAAAAAGATCAAGGTGAGACGTTTAGAGCTGGAATCGCTATGGACGATGGTTTATTTTCTTCTTTTTTATTTGATAAGGACATTCGAGCATCGTATAATCAATCTGAGAAAATTTGGTTCCGCACGCTTTTTACTCCACAGGGGACCTCTTTCTCTTTTTCGTCTTCCGCTTTCATTAACACCCACACCGCTCACCCGTCGCCCTGCCCTCCCCTCTGCCAGCTGTACCCGTTCTCTGCGCCGCCGGAGACGCTGCGCGAGCGTGAGGTTCCTCTCGAGCCGCGACGCGTCATGTCCGTCTTCAAGAAGCGCGTGGAGAAACACAAAGAGGAGCTGGCGGAGCTGGAGGAGTGCGAGATGAAGATCCGCACGCGGGAGGTGCCGGTACGTAATTCGAGGGGTCTTGGGAGTTTTTGGGATGTGTGCGAAGTTTAGATAAGCGGGGAGAGTTGTAGTAAAGGTTTGTGTAATAGGGTCCTAGGATAAAGACGCTTAATTGTGATGCGAGTGTGACTTATAGACAGTAATGTAGTAACAAACTGGTTGATTAGTGTGTAGCTTCCGGTAAAGGTGGTCTCCTCTCACAGTCGTCGGAACTTGTATGTTCCACCGGGATGTTTCCTGTTTACCCATAATTCGCTCCTTGACCGCCCCCCCCCCCCCCACGCCGTCCTCTAGAACGTCGAGATCGACAACCGGAGCGCGATGGACGGCAACACGTACTACGAGCAGCTGAACACGGGTATGCTGGTGCTGAAGACGGGCGACTGCGTGTACGTCAAGTCGGAGCACAGCAAGCAGGTCATCGCGCAGGTGGACACCATGTGGACCACGCCAGAGTGAGTGGAGTGGAGTGGTGTGGGGAGTCAACGCGTGTATCTTGAGTGAGGGTTGTCACGGGTTACAGTATGTAACAGCTTGGCGAGTTTGCAATTGATATACCAATGTAACTGCATTACTATCACGTGTTTTCAGCGTAATAGAATTGGGTTTTCTGGACGCAAAATATTTTTCACCTTAGCGAAAGATACCAATATGATCTCTGTACATTTGTTTCGAGTTTTCACCCCTCCTATGACCTCCGACCGTGACCCCTAACCCCTGCCGTGATCCCTGACCCCTGGTCTCTGACCCCCTACCGTGTCCCGCCCGCAGCGGTTCTCAGTACTTCCACGGTCCGACGTACATGACGTCCGCCGAGATCGCCTCCTCGGTGCAGCAGATGTTTTACAAACAGGAGGTGTTCGTCTCACTGCTGGAGGACACACACCCCATGGCGTTCGTCACCGGGAAGTGCTGCGTGCTCGACTATACCGACTACTGCTCACGTGAGTTCGGCTGAAAGGGAGACGGGAGTCGGATGAGGGGTGCTAAAGAGGGTTTTGCTGAACAGAGACTGTGGAGTATTGGAAGAATGTTGGAAGTTGGAGCACAAGCTGGCCTATCAGTTGTGTTGTTGCGCACCCATCACGGATATGTGCTCATTTGAGTGTTGCCTTCTCGCTGCAGACCGGGTCATTCCATCCAATCAGGGATGCATGTGGGTAATGTTAGATGCTGTTGTTTTACTCACAAGTAAGTGTTTCATTTTTCGCTGTGGTCTGCCTCCACCGCGGCAGCGGCGCCCCCTGACACCCCTCCCCCTCCGTCCACAGGCCGTCCCACCGAGATCCCCGAGGCGGACGTGTACGTCTGTGAGAACCTGTTTGACGAGTCCAAGCGTCAGATCGTGCCGCGCGGCGGCGACCCCAAGCGCTACGTGCACTCGGAAGCCGTCCTGGAGGACGAGGTGTACCACTTCCGGCGGCTGCTGGTGCTGCGCAAACAGCCCCTGGCCACCATCCAGCAGGAGGCCTCCGAGCGCATCAAGTCGCTCTTCGCTGAGGCCGTCGGGGTACGTTAGGCAGGCTGGCTTTGGGGAAGTTGGAGAGATAAGAGGTGCAGTTGAGCAACTCAGTGAAGTATGTTTCATGTTTGTGATCGTATTTAGAGCTAGAGTTAAGCTGACAGTTTACTCCATCGCATGTCTTATTCGCAAGACCCATCGCCGATATCAGACCGTGTAAATCGGGCTTCATCCTTCTCTCCTGACCTTTCCCGCACCCGGCAGGTATCCTCTCCGGCCGGCAGTAAGGTCGGGGGTGAAGACTCGCTGGACGGCCTACCCGCCAGCCTCTCTGACCTTCCCCTATCTCCCACAGGTATACTCTCCGGCCGGCAGTAAGGTGGGGGACGAGGACTGGACGATTCGCCAACCTCTCTGACCTTCCCCTGTCTCTCACAGGTATCCTCTCCGGCCGGCAGTAAGGTCGGGGACGAGGACTCCCTGGACGGCCCTCCAGCGTCGGTGGGGTCGGCCGATAACGCCTCAGTCGGCACACCAGTCAGCAGCTACAAAAAGGTACGCGCCGGCGACCGCATCCTAGCACAGATACGTTTGGATTGCTGTTATATGATTCATGAGTGTGTGTAACTTCTTATAATTGGCGTGGGCTGCCTGTTGATATGAGGTTTTAGCATATGCCGGAGTATGTCTTTAGCATTAGCGCGAGCGTGCGGTAAAAGCTTTTTAGATTAAACCGCATAATGTTGAAGGCTATTGAGCAAAGGTTTCGGCCCATGGGCAAAACATTTTATCAGCGAACTTTTGAAGCATTTCCTGAGACGGAGGAAGGCGCTGGAAAAGAGCTTAACTGATAGAAATCTAACGTGAACTTACGTGTTGCATTTGGTCGCTTTGAACTATTGAACAGATTGTAAATGTTGGTTTTCAATAAGATAATATTTTAAATCCTAATGTACAGACATATTAATTAATCACCTACATTTATGGCGTCCATTTCATGTCTTTTACAACTGCAATGAATTGACAAAAACGCATTTCACATTGATCAGTAAAAACTTTATTCATACTGACATGGGTAAAAAACCAAGCGTTCACTTCACAGGATGGTATACCTTCCACTCTTCTCTAATATTGAAAACGAACGTTACTCTAGCTTTTCATATGACATAGATTGAAATAGATGTTCTTGGTTTGATATGAATCCAACTCAGAGCCAGACACAAGGATGGAACACAGTGATCTTGAGTCGGCTTGGTTTATTATCTTGGTCAGGGAATATGTACATTTTTTAGTTCTTGATATTCGTTATTGGTTTTTTCACTTCTTTCAAGCATGTTCAATTGTTAAAGAAGCTTAAATATGGAAATTAAACGGCATATGCTAAAATAAATATCACACTCAGTGTTGCCGTTGGGAATTTTCGACACGTACCAGATTCTGAATGAAAATGTACCAAAACGAACCTATTTCGTACCATATGGGGTATGCCAATGTACCAAGTTATGTACCATTGTATAAAATACACCAAAACGTCATAGATCAACAAGATTCTACATCAATTCCGGTCAATTCCTGTGTTTGGTGCTCATATTTGGATTTATGCGACATCTGTTGTCCGTATCCACTTCATAATATGATTTGCTTTAGGTAACCGCATTAATGTTACGTAACTCGTAAGTCAGGCTAACAATAATTGTAACTTCTTATACCTACTACATATATTGCTAAGGAATATAGTTATAGTTAGTTTTTTTCAACATCGGTTTGGCTCCAAGTTCATTATCGAAGCTAGCTCTCATTGGCAACTTCAGCGTCTGGCCAATAATAAAATATTCAATTCCAAATTATGCTCGTTAAATACATGCAAATTGTATCTTCAAAAATTATCATACTCATTGACCTCTATAGTCTAGTATAGGTCAATGATCATACTATGATGACGTCACTGGTGGCAGCTGGCAGCTAACATTCCTACGGTCAACGGTGGCTTAATGTGTCGACAAATTTAAGGAAAATTTCAGTTTCATTGTTACCGAGGTCAAAACGGAGTAAACAATTCTGTCCATGGTAGTAATGGGTACTGGTTATACATTACATTGCAATGCAAGTTCGACAGCATGACATCATCACTGTTCCAATGTTTAGTTTTAAAAAGTACGCATGGAATTTATCGGGAATAAATCACATGTTAAAATAAGGCGACGTTCGATTTTCTCAAGCTCAGTTTTTGGTCGTTTCGCGGGATAAAAGTGCGTGCTTGTACATTTCGTGCGAAAAATGTACTTGGATTCAAACTGGTTTTGAAAAAAAACGAACTATAGAAATATGCTTAGGAAGATGCTTATTTAAGTGGTCTTCCTGTTACAGCATATTCGTTTTAATATTGATTCTGATTGATTTTTGGAGACAGAAATATACAAATTTAACGTAAAAAAGAAATGCTTGCGTAAAACCGTGAAATGTACCAGATTTGGGCCTCAGTGTACCAGCGTACCAGAAAGTGTTGAAATGTACCAGATCTGGTACAATCGTACCATAGCGGCAACACTGATCACACTTGGGCCGGAATGTTTCATTCAGGACCTCGGGCCATGGATAACTATATATGGATTGGAAACTCCCCGCGTGCGCCATTACCAGCCGCGACATTGGTGCGCGCCTGCCATCTAGCGGCGAGGATATCGACATACAGGAATGTGCTCGGCCGGCGGCTGGCTCGCCCGCAGGAATACGCTGATCGACGGTGACCCGGTAACTATTTCGATGGAAATATGTAACATATACTCACCGCACGTCCAATACCACTTACCAACCGGTCTTTAGTAGCTTGTCTCCCCGCGGTGACAGTGCACCGGGGTTGTGCAGGCGTCCCCAGGCGCCGCTTTTCACACACTCGGACGGTCACCAGGAGGCCGTCGCAGCTCGCCGTCACAAGTTGTGACGGCGAGCTGTTGTGACTCACAACCCGTGAGTCCCATAGTTCACAATCCCATAGTTCTGCTCCCATAGTTCTGTTAGTTCAAACATCGTTCCACTCATTGCATGTCATTCTGTATTTACGTGTAATCCACAAACACATGTGACGCATGGCATCATGATATTCATTTCGAAATCACAGGTGATTCAAAACACTCAAATAAACATCGATTGTGATCGCGCGGACACGGTATAGTAATCCAATCCTCACTCATCTGAATTCCAAACACTCGTATCGACATCGATTGGTCGGATCGCGCGCATGCCGCCTAATCTAAGACCAGAAGAACATTAGGTTAGGCAGATCAACGATAAAGAACGCCAATTTCTCATCTATCTGATACTCACTCCTCAAAGAGCCCAGTTGGCCGATGTTGACATGAAGATAGTCTGTTGAGTTCTTCATGATATCTTCTCTTCTCATGTTTACCACCCATTGCCTTGGCGGGGAGGGGGGGGGGAGGTGTAGCATCAATATGGTAGAAGCCTTAATGACACATTTTAACTATTTCCCAGTGACCTAGTTCCACCTTGACCTCCATGCATGGAATGATCCTAACGCATTGTTGAATACCAATGAGATGGTGCCTGTGCACATGTTAAAACAACAAACAAGTCTGTCGTGCAAAGCAAAAAAAAAAAACTTAAGCGCAAGCTGCTGGGCACAGAAAAAATGAACCGACACAAAATGTGAATGCATGCACTTGCATCCTCTTTCCTGTGTGTGGAAGCCCGCACTTATGCTCTTTTCCCTTTGCACGGCAGAAGTAGGGAAGCAGTCATTCAATGACTGTAGTCCCATTAAAACAAGGTTAATCAGCAGTCAGGGTGGTAATATGACCTTAGCAAGGAAAAACTAATGGATGGGGGATGCATTGATTGACCTCCTCCAGGGCGGGTCAGCTGAGCTGGCCTGGGGTTGTCGTTGACAAAAATGCTGGCAGACAAGTGTCCAAGGTCCTGCCATATTGGCTAAGCATAATAGCTAATGATTGACAAATAATAAACCTCTTGAAGTGGTCCACTGGAAAAAAGGCTTATATCTCCTGACTATAGATATGTACTGGCCCAAACCTCCAACGACGCCAGTGATGCATAGGCTTTTTACTCATATGCTAGATCGAACTTCCATTAAAAAACACTTCCTATATGTACAGTAACCTTTCAGGATCACTTGGGATTCGGTGAAAAGACAGATCAGGGTTTTTTTTCTTCGAGTTTTTGCAATTAATCGCGCCGCACCAAGAACTGCCGTCCGCCGCCATTGTGGCACTGGCGAGATTCCTGTACGTCGATCTGCGCATGCGCAGTACCCGATGTCGCGAAAATCGGCGGAGTTTCCAATCCATATAAGTAATCCATGCTCGGGCTTTGTTGAATTTTCCGCCCTCGACCTTCGGTCTCGTGCGGAAAACTCAACAAATCCCTCGGTCCTGAATGAAACATTTTACCGGCCCCGTGTGATATTATATAGGGTTGATACTTTGACCAACTTACGGCATTATGCGATGAGCATTGCTCCATGAATATGCATCAACACATTTCTAACAATTTTCTAACCGTTTTTTACGCACAGAGTAAGCGTCTGAAGATTCTGACGGGCTACATCCTGTACTCTGCCGACATCAGGAAGAAGATCACCTCCAATAACCCGTCGGCCAACTTTGGCGACATCAGTCGGCTTGTGGGCACAGAGGTGAGGACCCGGGACGGACCGGACAGTGGTTGCCGGGCAGGAGGGACTTGGCAGAACGGGAAGGGACAGGGTGACGGGAAGGAATCCAGTCTATGTAGTCAAACCATGGGGAAGGGGCCGGGACATTGAAGGGGCGGCGCAGGTTGAACTGATGGGCGTGCGTGACTCACCATTTAGCAGCAACTGTGAGGCTGACCTGGGTGCTTTCTTTGGCTTATTGGAGCCGGTCAGATGATGTGTGTCGCAGTTACGGGATGCTCCGCACAGAGTCTATTTACGTCTGTGCTCAGCCGGGTATCTATCCATTTAAGCCTCTTCGTTACAATGATGTATTTCTTACTGCAGTAGACATATCAAAGCCACATGTAATTATTCAGTCGACGATATTTTAGCTCAGGAAGCGGATAAACAACGTTTATTGTTGAATGTTGTGTGCCTTTCCTCTGCTCAAAACTGGGCAATCCAATGTGACATTTGCTGATACATCTGTTGTGCCAATCGGTAGGCGAATCTGGACACTGAAAAGATGGTAAGGCACCGGTACGGTCTGGCCAGCTGGCCGAATTTTACTCTCTCGGCGATGCCTTTCGATGGTTTTGCACCCGTCTCGACCAGCTACAGTTCCGGCTTGTTTTGCCCAGTTTTGTTGCTTTTACTATTGTTTTATTTTATGCGATCCTAATGCGTGTTGTCATACGATTCAGTAACTAATGTTGGCATGTTCTGAGTGTTTGTAAATGTTTGCTGAGGCATGTTCAAGATTTTGTATTTACCGTTTTGTGACACTAATCTGTCTTATGTGCTGTGCGACAGCTTGCTGAACAAAATGGCGTATCGAGAGTTCCTGCATATGCCCGTTTCTATTGTTTTATGATTGACCTTTAGTTTCGTCCTTGCCGTCATTTTATCTGTGAAACTGTGTCTGATGTTTGTGTGAATCCTTAGCTGGTAGATCCCCCATTGATGACCGATCAACACCTGCTCAGCCCATGCTGCACTAGCCACCTATCGAGCTTTCCATTTACGAGCATTGCCCCTTATGGCTCGCTTCCTATGTTTTGCAGCATTGACGCTACCTTATTGATTTGTTTTGTAACCACATAAATTACAAATGCAAGCACAAAGATTCGCGTTTGCTGTTAAAGTGTGAATCAATGGAATTAGGGTCGACGCATTAAATGTCGTCATTGATGTGTTATCCATCTGACGTATTCCGGCTGCCCTTTTTTAAACACTGGCTCACCCCGCGGCTGCTCCTAACGACCTTAGTATCTCTCCCGAATCTCCACACCAGTCGCACCACCCTCTCTCCTCTACTTCTAAATTTCCAATTTTTTTTTCAAATTTCCAAATTTCCAAATTTCCAAATTTCCAAATTTCTAAATTTTTACTTCTAAATTTCCATCACTGAGAAGCCTCCTCACCTCTCACCTCCCCCTCCCCTCCCTTACTCCCTCAGTGGAAGAACCTCTCGGCGGCCGAGAAGGCCTCCTATGAGGAGCGCGCGGCGCGCATGAACGCCGACTCCGTGGCCAGTCTGCGAGTGGAGATGGCGGACACGCCGAGCCGCGCCGTGCTGGGCGCCAGCCTGGTCGGGCCCGACGTGGTGTACGACTGCTGCTGGCTCGGCTGCGACTTCCAGTACGAGGACATGAGCGAGCTGATCGACCACTGCAACGCCGAGCCGGGCGGACACGTGCCCGTCTACGCCGCCACCGTCTGTAAGGGAGAGCGACTGGGGACTGGAGGGTGGGGGATGATGGGCGAGGGCTTTGGTCGATTACATTGGTAAAACCAATATCTGGGTCTTTGATTTGGACGACTGTTGGATTAACGTGACACGCTCTCGGTCCTCCTCTCTGTGCTGCCCCGGAGCATGCGCATGTCCCACTCTCACAAGTGGGTCCAGGGCTTGAACGCCCCGAGACATGCCTATTTTTTATAGTTGCTGCGATGTTTAAAAATACCGCTACTGTTGTCCGTTTGCGAGAAAATCCTGTGCCAATAAAAAAAAACGGGACTTCATTGGATTAATGTTTGGGTATTTCGGAGAGCATTGTTTTCCTGATGTAATTGCGTACATTTAGAGTATCCTCGTAACTAGAAGTTACTAACTCGTTTTTAGACTATCACGATGATCTTAGGCCGCTTTCTGTGTTCTCTCCGCGCTACCCTGTTTTCACCTTTTTGCCTATCTCGTCCCCTTACCCCGTTTATCCCCGTATTCACTCGACCTGAACCCCTCCCCGTTCCACAGCTGACGAGTACCAGTGCCAGTGGCGCGGCTGTAACCGCATCAAGAAGGGCTCCACGCCGTTCCCGAACGCCGGCCGGCTGATGCGACACGTCAAGGAGGTGCACATTCAGAAGAACAACGGCAGGGTGGTGGCGCCGCACGAGCGCGGCAGGTCAGTTCGGGGGGCGACAGGCCGGGTGGGCTCAGTTGGGCGGGCGATGCGGGAGGGGACGGGGATGGGGGTTGGGTGGGGATGGGGAGAGAAAAGGGACCAGGTCAGTTGAACGGGGAAGGAACAGGAAGATTATGGGGGGATAGGTATAGGGTGGGATTGACGAGATTCAGATATGGTAAATGTAATCGTGTATTCGCGTTCGCTCGTCGTTGGGTCCCTTGAGAGCTGTTTGTGATGAGTTACCTGTTAACGGCGATCTCCGACGACCAGCCAAGTGCTTGATGCTATTGTGAATAGCACACAATCACACGTATGAATATTACAGTCACTCACCCCCAGATCATGTCCCCAGCCCCCACCCACTGAACCTCGTCCCTCCTCTCGCCAGGAACTTTGTGCCGCGCCGCGGCAGCGCGGCGGCCGGCGCCGCTGCCGGCCAGGGCGGCGCCGTCCGCCAGCACGGCCCCGGCTCGGGCGTGTCCACTCCGACGAGCAGCACGGGCGCGCCGGAGCCGCGCTTCGTGGCGGCGCCGGCCCGGCCGCAGCGGCTCCTCCACTCGGAGGCCTACATCAGGTGCGCAGCTGGGGAGATGGGGGGGGGGGCTTGGAATGAGTGGATGGGAAGGGAGTAGGGAGGTCGTGGTGCCAAGACGAGGAAGTAAGGTAGATACTTCCTGGTTTGTAGATAGCTGGTGGTCAGGGGGGTGCCATTCACATGTTGCCACGCTGGTGACAGGTGAATGCATTTCAGTGGCTGCTGGATTATTAGTTTTTTTATTTCACAAACTAACCTAGGAAGACACCAGTGAAAACCTATCTTACCTTAGGAGCAAGCGTTTCTAATGCATATGTATTCCCGCTCCTGTCTGCTCAACTCAGTATATCTCACCATCCCCAGCCTCAGCCCATCCACCCCGCTGACCCCCTCCCTGCCCTCGTTCAGGTACATTGAGACGCTGCAGCCGGAGCGGGCGTCGGTGCCTCAGCAGCAGGGCGGCTGGGAGCGCCAGCTGCACGCCACACCCGAGACCACGCCGGTACCCGACACGGCCCGGCTGCCCACCCACTGGCTGGCCGACGGACTGGCCGACAGCACATCCGTGGTCAAGACGCTCTGGCACCTCCGCGACTACCTGATGAAGGATGCGCTGGGAATCTCGCGCGCCTACGAGGGACGCCTCTGAGCAGCCGGTGAGCGGAGAGAGGGGCAGAGGGGCTCATGGGGAGCGAGAGACGAGAAAGTGGACTCGGAGGAAAGAGAGGGGGAAGGTGGAATGAGAGATGGATGGACCTGGAGAGACTCGTAGAAAGCTCCGGAGGTTAGAGTTTAAGTTAAAGACCAGACATTCTTGCGTTTTATCAAAATTCGAGCGCCGATCATCATGCGATGCGTTATGAAGCAGAACTCACGTTGACGCGATGATCATGTCTGGATAAAATCTGTTCCGACACGGAGCTCATTCCGTGTGAGTCGTGATCCCGTCCGCTCACATCTGGTGATTTCGGTGGTTTGTTGGGTCCGCGGCGAGCGCTCCCTCTCCGGTGGTCCTCTGCCTATAGTGTCGCCGTTCTGCGCCACTCTCTGTGCATATTGTCGGCCTGCCTCTGATCTCTGAACTGTATGCGTGCCGTGTGTCGCCAGTGGTGTTCCGTCTAAGAATGTCTGCCAGGAGCCTCGGGCTTACGTTGTCCGGGGTTTGGTCCATTACTGTCTGTCTAAACCAGCACCGCTTTGCTGAGGCGGCCCACGGGGGTGGCCGGTGGGTCCAGCCGCCCCTTGCGGTGTACGCTGGCACAGACCGCGAATCGTCGGGCGTGAGTCCCCTCTAGAGGGAGTGTGAGTGATGCGAGTCGTGGCACGCTCTGTGCCGTTGTGCGTGTCTGTGTGGGTCGTGGGCTCACTATGCGTGGACGGGCTTCTCGCTATCTACTGTGGACAGAGCTGCGCGGTGGACTGTCCATTGTGGACGTTAGGACGGAGATCCTTGGGCCCGATGGTGGCGGACTGAGGGAGCTCTGATGGCCGCCAGTGAGCCCGATGGGGAACTCTGGGACCCTATGACGTCGTCTGTGACGCCCCCGGGCATTCTGCTCCTGTCACGCCGCGAGTGAGTCGCGTCGCCTGGGGTTCTTTTTTCACGTGTTCTGTCTCAAAGTTGTGACGTACAAACGGCGGCGATCTCCCGCCATCCTTTTACATGTTCGCGCCAAAAGTAATACACGCATTCTCGTTTCTCCCCTGTCTTATTTGGTGCACGAACTCGTGGGGAGCGGGACAGACGAACGCTCGGCGCTTGGCGGCGTCCGCAGCAGACTAGTTCAACCTCCCGCCGACAGATGGCAGGGGCGCGCACTGAGCTCTCGGCCTCTGACGACATGTCAATCGCTGGACAAACCGCTCCCATTGACGGCCTGAGGTACGCGACGGTGTGCACAAGGCATAACGATTACATGATCATGCATATAAATTATATCAAGCGCGATCGTCTGCGGTTAACAAACAACGTGAACTGACGGGTCACCTATCACCTATCTCTAACACGTGTGACTGAGCACACGCCATTGCGCCGGTCACACAACTGAACGCAGGAGTCACGGGCCGCGGGCGCAGTCTCAGCCCACCAGTACACGCACAACTATCACAGGCGGTGGGGCAAAGAGGCGTGCTCGCGATAGGACCTCCCTCTCATGGAATTACTGAAACAGAACGCCGCGTGGTAGCCCGGCGCTCACAAATACACGACTCTTCATATCCTCCGATGAAACGTTCACTCGTCATTGTCTCAATACTCTATGGAGACAGGCTGTCTTGTCGGACGCTGTCTCGACGCTGTTTTGTCTCGATGTCAGCGGAGCTCTGAGCTCCCGCACGTTCGAACCAGTAGGCCACGCTCACGGCTTTTCGGCTCTCATCTCACAGCTTTTCCACGTAGTTACCGGGGAACAGCGCCTGCTTGCCGTTGAAGATCCCCCGCCACCAGCCCGACGCGTCTGAAACAAGAGAAAACCGGTTAATAATAGCCAATCGAAGCCAGTAGCTACCAGTGGGTCCTGATATGGACAACGGCAACTCGGAGAAGGCATGGCTCGTACCGTGCGTGCGTCATAAGGAGTGACTTTATCCAGTCACGCTTAAAATGCATCATTAACAAATCCACTCATAAACGAATGATTCATTCGTTACTCATTTACGGTCATAAATGAATTCGATGCTCTGTTCATGTTGGAAACCCACCTTCATGTACAAGTTCTAGTATGTCACCTTCTTCAAAACTCAGCTCATCCACGTCTTGCGCGTCGTATCTGCAAAAGAGCAAAACATTCAGATGCGGCAGATAAGCCGATGATATTGGTCATGTTACAATCACGGCGCAAAGTCAATACACTCGTAATACCGTGTGTATAAAGGTGTTTTCTGTGTAGGACTGTGATGTCCATCACGGACCTAAAGGTCGAACGTAAATAGCCCCGCTGCTGACACGGACCTGAACTCCAGCAAAGGTTTATGAATCAGCTTCGGGTTGGCCTAAAACGTGCCTAAAATGGCAGCTCAGAACATTGGTGACGTAAGATACAATCAAATCCGTACACCCTGTAAACCTTTTATACTCCTTCATTTATGTATTAATTGTGACTGGGCTTACTTGTACAGTGCCTTGCACTTGGGGTACTTGGGTTGGCGCGGCTTGGGCGCCGGTTTGGGCCGCCCCTCTCCGGGCAGCGGTTTGAAGTCGGGCTGACCGACGCTGGCCCGCTTCGCACTGTGGCACGGAGAGAGAGGTCAGAGGACGGCGCTGTGACGGGCAGGGGGAGGTCAGGGGGCGGCGCTGTGACGGACAGGGGGAGGTCAGGGGGCGGGCGGGGGGAGGTCAGGGGACGGCGCTGTGACGGACAGGGGGAGGTCAGAGGGCGGCGATGTGACGGACGGGGGGAGGTCAGAGGGCGGCACCGGACACGGGACAGAAAACCTGACACCACGGACACTGTGACACGGTCAGGCAGTGAACGGACTGGACATGGTCAGACGGGCGGCGATGTGGCACACAAACACCGAGTTCCAGGTGTTAGCGACACTGTGGCGAAGACCGAAAGGTGTCACAAAGGCTGGACAGGAGTAGGTATATAACCCCAGACACTGCGTCAGTTCCTGAAAGCAATGTTTAAGCCAGCCAGATCCATAGCATGAAACACTCCATGTCATACGAGCATAATCATACGGAAATGAAGGATATTCTGAACAACACGGATGACGAGAGTGTTGACCTATATGTATAGTGTACACCATGATTCCAGTGAACCTCATAAATCCAAAGCCGATCCTGCTTCTGACGCAAGACACTGCTGGCTATAAGTCGTTATTACACATTCCTATTTAAGCAACATTGAAGCGGCTTACCTGACCACTAACACCTGTAAGAACACTCGTCACTTCCTGGCTCCCTCTCCTGCCTCCCTCCGCTGCCCATCCCACCCAGGTGGTGTACCTACCACCACCGCCTCCCGCCACCCCACTCACCCAGGTGGTGTACCACTACCTCCCGGCGTCCCACTCACCCAGCTGAGTGTACCACCACCGCCTCCCGCCACCCCACTCACCCAGGTGGTGTACCACTACCTCCCGGCGCCCCACTCACCCAGCCACGCCGGCGTCCGGCGTCCTCAGGTAGCTGTCGTCGCCGGGCGCCCTCCTGGGCTGCGGCACCGCGTGGCCCGGCTGCGGCAGTTTTCCGGAGGCGGGCCGGGCGCGCCGCGAGCCGCGCCGCGTCGCCCGCGGGCTGACGGCGCGCGCCGGACCCGTCGGGATGGCGTACGTGGTGGCGGCGGTGACGCGCGGCTGGCCCGGCGGCGCCGGACCGCTGGGCGGCGGCGGCGCCACCTGGCGCACCGACGGACGGTGGCTGAGCCCGGACCGGCCCGGCGCCGCGCGCGACGCGCCCTTGCCGCCCGGCGCACGCTTGGTGGTGCGCCGCTCCGCCGACGGCCCTGCAGAGGAGAGAGGACCTCTGATTGGGGGCTTATCGGTAGGGAACTGTCGTAACAGTGCATAGCACTACACATGGGTCGTACGTTTGGAATAGCATAGTTACGTCTGTTATGTAACTAGGCATAGTTACGTATACAGCTCATTTAGGCATCACACGAATAGCAATTAATGCGACCTCCAACGAATCTGCCAAGTTTCTGGCTAAGGTGTTGGCACTAGGCACCATGAATAAGCGCTATATTGCCCCGAGGCCGAACTAACAGTGCGGAAAAATCTCGTACCTCGGAAATTTCTCGGAAAAATGACATCTTAGACATATTTTCAAGGTACACAGAACACAGCCTCATGGTGTGGGTGAATAAGAAGGCCTTGAAGTCACTTTCAAACTGCGGCAGTTGAAAATCACTGTCACAAGTTGGATCTGCAGTGAACAATATTTAGTAAAATGTCCGCAGAAAAAAATTCCACAGTGATTTAAAGGAAAGAAAACCTCTTCACGCAAATATGTTGTATCCCAGTCCCCAGGACGACCATGCAGTCTTTGTCACCAGTCGCACATGCCGGAAACTCACGCGAGTTTTTGTCGAGTCCTGCTCCGATGGTGACGGTCAGTGTTTTGCCGGACGCCTTGGTGACAGCCAGGTCACCCTGGCCGCGCTCAAAGTGGATGTGGCGCGTGCCACCGCCACCCCAGCCCTCCTTCTTCACCTTCATCTCCAGCCTGAGGAACGACAGGACGGTGAGGGTGCGGGTGTGGGTGCGCGGGGATAAGGAGTGAGGCTGTTGGGAGTCCTCACTCAAGCTCCAATTGTGTGACCTTGTAAGGTCTCAATTTTCTAGTTGGTTCTTGGTTCGTTCTGAATTATTTTCCAATGAAAATGGTTGACACTTGATGCGATCACTAACTGAACGATTGAGGCTTATGCATAAGTTGTGCGAAGCAATGATGCGAACGCAAAACATTTTACACTAAACCACTACCTGCACAATGCACATGTCGAAGAGTGTAACCATCGCGCTCACCTTGTGTCAAAGTTTAGGACGACGTTGGCTCCGATGGTTTCGTCACACTTTTTCTTCAGCACGGCGAGGAACTCTGTTTTGAAGTTGAGTGTCAGGAGACTGTCATACTGGTTCCTGACGTGAAGAACGAGGAAGTCGTCCTGAAAGACAGCACGAGGACGTTACCGAGGGCGCTGACAGAGCGGCTCGGAGGCTGGAGGACGAATGCGGAGAATGGACGGAGACGTAGCATCAGCGGTATTTCGTTACGAGAGGACCCACTTATGGTCTGACCGATGCTTTCACGGTCAATATCAACAGTGAATCGCTCGGACGGTCAGGCATCGTCCGGGACATCAATAAAACAAATATTACACATGTGATACGGTGGTTGAAAAATACAAATGACACTCTGCAAAAAAAAACTTTATGGTACACCAGCCTTGGACACAACTTCCGAGACAACTTCCGAGACGAGACAAACGAGAAACAACCGAGAAATCATTACATGATCTAACACTAGGTCAGTTTAGGCACACAACCAGTCCAGATACCGGCAGATTACCTGGTAAGGACTCAGCGAGACATGGCTGATGGACGGTAGGTCGATTTTCCGTTTGACAACCTCGAGAAGCTCGCCCTTGCGGGGCCCCTGTTTCGCCTTTTCACGGCCGATGAGGTAGACAAACTTTGGTGTCAGGATCAGGTCCCTCTTGCACGACTGGAGATGAAATAAAGACCGTCATCTACAAGTCAGGATAAGTTAAAATGAAGACAGCAAAATGAAATCTGCGAGCCAGCATCCAACATCCTTTCTACCTTAGAACAATGCAAACCATGTTATGCTAATTTATATCCCCTTACGTGCCTGACCATGCAAAATGAAAAAGTAGACACTAAGTACCAGACGGGCATGCGAATTTCCGCAATAGCAGCCCTGGTACTCGCGATGAAGCTACAATGAAGAATCATGACATAACCAAGTTTCCGTAATCCCACATATCAATCACTACATGTATCGTATTGTTCCGTTCCCGATCAATAGATGACCCGACGAAACTCGTCCGGATGCGGTGTCAATTCTCGCCCATCTCCAGTGTGACTTCTCGTCCGCTGCGGCGTCGCTCACCTTGAAGCGCCGGTCGTACTTGACGGCGGTCTCGGCGAACTCTATCCGCTCCCGTTTTCCGACCAGCGCCCGCAGACCGGGCCGGTCGTCCAGGCCGATGTAGTCGCCCACAAAGTGCCTGGGGGAGAAAACAGGGGGTCACCAAAGAGATATCAGTCGTTCAGACCCGCACAAGAATTTAATTCATAAGACATCCAATTTTAAACAGTAGACAACAAAGACTGTCAATTGCTTTAACCCCTCCGTGGCAGCCCTGACCCACCCCGGTGAGGCGATGGCCCACCTGTTGATGGAGAACCTCCTGCGCTCCTTCTTGCCGTAGAAGAGGTCGCTGGCATCGTCCCTCTGCTTCTTGCGCTGTTTCTCGGCAAAGTAGCGCCGGAAAGCCTTCTGAATGACGCGTGCGTAGCCGTCAAAGCGCCGCTCCCGGAGGTCCTCCAGTTGGAAGAGCTGCAACAGTCGCCGCAGGTGATCTGTTAGTGACATAGTGTTCCGTACAGAAAAATATCAATTTTCTGAATAGGGACGACTGCTAAATCGTGAAAGATCGTTCGCTCGTAAGGCGCATTTATAATGTACCCACGGAAGGGGCAATGCTTAGCATGTCAATCCACCGCCAGCACTGGGCTCTACCTATATCCTGATGGTATTACTACCACTTGCTCAACATCAATTTCACTGACGTCTTTAGAAACCTCGTGCTGGCAGTGCCGTGGTCAGACCACCTTTCAAATTTTGTCATTGACATATTGACGATAACTTTACAGCGTAGCATTGATCTACATAGTGCATCTAAAAGGCTTATTTTGATACACATAAAACACATTTGCTCCCCGTAGCAGAACATTTACATTTTTACTGCCAAAGATAACAACAATATCTCTGCCTAGCAGGGTTGTGCTTGACTCATGAGTCGAGTCAGAAATTTGACTCAACTCTGACTCAAATGAGTCAGATTTGAGTCGAGTCGGATAAAATGTTGAGCTGTTGAGTTGAGTCAGAGTTGAGTCGGACAAAAATATTAAGGCGTTGAGCTGAGTCAGAGTTGAGTCAGTAAAATAACTTTTGACATTGAGTTGAGTCAAACATTTAGGAACATGAGTCAGCTGACTCAACGCTCTAGAAACAAGCTTTTCATCCCCCCCCCCGCTTAACAACTTCGCCCTGGCCCTGCTGCCGGATTTTTTCACCCCCGCCCCCGCTCAACAACTTTTTTATCTGAGTCAATTTTGAGTCAACTCACTTGACTCAACAAAAAATTGGGTCAAGTTTGAGTCGAATTATATTTTCATTGAGCCGCGTGAGTCATGAGTCGAGTCAAGGGAAAAAATCAGCTCCTTGTTTGAGTCAGAGTTGAGTCAGGGCTTTCTGAAGTTGAATGATGAGTCGAGTCGGCAAATTTTTTTGAGTCGAGCACAACCCTGCTGCCTAGTGCCTAAATAGTTTCATTATCTACCCCAAACGTTAGCCAGCAGCCCACCGGACCACCATCCGCACTGACCGACTCCGGAGCCTTGATGAACACTTTGGTCTTGCCCAGCTGGAACTGATCGTCGTCCAGGCAGCCGGCCTTCATGATGAGCTGAATGCCCTGACGAGGGTCGCCTCGCCACATCGGCCACGTCTCCTTCGTCAGGATGGCGTACCTGAGGAAAAAGGGGTTCATAATAAATAATAACGCTGTCAGGCAGCAGGCACAAGACAGATTGACGAGTGCGGTAACTGTGACTATCAGTGACACAACTGTGTCGACAAAAAAGCTATCAGACGGTATATTATCAAGCATTGGGCTATCATCCGTAAGTTACGTCGAGTATGACCTAAATCTGGAAGCTCACAACATACCATATCGTTGCTCTCCTTTAAGTTACACCGGTACTCTCGGTTAACTCTGCGACCCTCCATTATACTCGTACCCGTCCTCGACTGATCTGCACACTGACTGACCCGTCCGTTTCCGACCCCACCCGGCGCCCGCCGTCCCCCAACTGACCGCCGGAGGAACTTGTCGAACGGCCGGCGGTACGCGAAGCCAGCGCGCCGCACGCGGATGTTCTCCTTCAGGCCCAGGTACTCGACCTGGTGTTTGACGCGCCCCTCCTCCCAGTCACCGGCACGCTTCGTCTCGTTGGGCTTGATGCACCTGAGGGGAGAAAGCGCAGTCAGAGATGGGGAAGGATATGTGATTAGAGGGGTGGTGATTAGGGAATTTGGCAAATCTAGCGATAAAGAAATGGGACAAACACAGCCGGATGTTGATTAGTTTTCTGAGATACTAAGAGTTTCAGCATAAAAAATATATGCACGCGTCAGAAGCTAAGAGGTTTATGTTAGTAACAGCCAGACTCAGCTTGACTGAACGCAAACCCCTCGTGATCAATCGTCAGCATGGAGTCCCTCACTACCATCCCACCTCGCCCCTCCCCGGTCGATCCTCACCGTATGTAGTGCGGCGTGCACTTCATCAGGGTCTCCGTGAGCGCGTTGGCCTGGTGCCGGATCTTGGAGCCGGCCGTGGTCGGTCGAGACTTGGCGCCGCTCTTGGAGACCTCCTCGGGGAACAGGCTGGCCATGAACTCCCTGTCGGGACGACCAGACGGCGGCGTGACGATAAGTCAACAGTGGAGAGGAACGGTTAACAAACGCCGGTTCGGGTCGAAGACCATGTGCGACGTTTTCAGTCCAGCATATTGCGGAACTCTAGTGGGCCAACATTGAATTTAACTTCCTTCAAAATTTCAAAATGCGCACAATACGCCATTTCAGAACTTGCCTCGTCAATTTAGGATACTGCTATTGATCACCAGTTACTACAAGAAGTATATCTTCACAAGTCAAGGTTTGATGCTTGATGCATGTTTGCATAAACATCCGCATTGACGTCAGATTTATAAAGCATGAACGTACACCTGGCTGGCCTGCATGACCTCGACGATGTCCGGGAAGAGGACGTCGCGGTTGCGCTCGCAGAATCCGTCCACGTCGTAGGAGACCTTTCCGGCGTAGTGGTGGATGATGAAGCCCTCCTTGTTCTGCTCGTAGTGCTGGTGGCTGCTCATCACAGAGTTTAGGTGCTGGCGGAGGACGGAGACACGGAGAAGATCGGTAAGTGCGTCTGGTTTCAGATAGGAGGAAGTCTCATCAACTGCAAACCTACGGCCAGAAGGTTGATAGCTTTTTGGTCAAGATAAGACATCCGAGTCTGCAGCATATTGCATCGAAAGTGGTCCCATTTGTGATAAAAAAGTTACACCCGCACTCCGCAGCCATATGCACTTGCAGTATGCACGCCTGAAAAGAAACGCAGGAAAAACGTAACACAGGACAATCTCACGGGCAGATAACCTAGTGGGCGTTGCTCAAGTCACCAACCGGTAAGCGCGCTTCTTTCCTGGAGTGTATCTCAGTTAAAATGCCATTAGTACATCAATCAACATTTATCATTATTCTCCAGTCATAACTCAATATATATAACTGGGCCAAATATGTGCAAAACCCCACATCTCAAATGCACTTTAACCATGACGAAGAGCTCCTGAGTCCTTACAGTTACAAACCCAGCAGTCAGTGCGCTCTAAGGTCCCTGACGTATGACCAACCGGGCGGACGTGCCATGCCGAGCCGTACCACCCCGTAAGCTCTACATGTTACCACACCCTACCGCTCCGCACAGCGGAGGTATCATACCGTACCACTACGAGCCACCGACATACCACACCGCTTCGTACTGCGGACGAACGTACCATCTGCAGGTCTCGGTCGGCTCCGTCGGTGACCGCGTGCATCTTGGCGCAAATGTCGTCCAGCATCAGCATGATGCCCGGAGGACGCTTCGCCTCGATCAGGTCGCACACGATCTTGTTGTTGAAGTAGTCGATCGGCCGCCACTTGATCCCCTCCCTGACGTACTCTTCCTGTGAAAAAATGGGAGAAGGACATGCAAAATCATATCACAGAAATCAGACATTTTAAAATATGTTTGGGCGTATTAATGCACTTATGACCCCCTCGTAACATACGCTACATCAAGTAGCTATTGTAATGTGGCAAGCTTAATAAGGTGAATAAGTTTTTAGGAAAAACGGCTACGGAAAACAGGCATACCTGCTCCGCCTTGAGTGTCAGCTCGATGAAGATCTGTTGCAGCTTTTCGTTGACGAAGTTGATGCAGAACTGCTCGAAGCCGTTCTTCTGGAAGATCTCGAAGCCGTAGATGTCCAGAATGCCGACGTTCTGACCCTGCTCGCTGGTCTGCATGGCCTTATTCACCACCTGAAAGTTGTCCAGAGTGATCAAATTGTCCAAAGTTCACAAAACAAAAAAGATTCCAAAACGATACCAGCGCTCTCGAACCGGTTTGATCGCAAATATCACAATTTGTGAAAATTGGTACAAGCAAAGCAAGGATTATGTTATAAAAGTCAATAACCGGTATAAGTATCCAAGGCGGCCATACTTCTATTTGAATAATAATCATAAGATTCTGAACAAGGAGAACCACTGAGAGTTTATCCGAGCTAGATTATGCCGCAGAAGACTGCAGCAGAAATGCATTATTTCAATTCCTGTCCCTCGTCCACATCACACCCGACCCCGCCTCACCTTGACTAGAAAGTCAAAGAGCCGCGAGTAGAGCGCCTTGCTCCAGGCGTCGCGCGTGTACGAGGCCTGCTCCACGTTCAGCGTCACGTCCACACGCTCGGACTGGCCGCCCCAGCGGCTGTCGAACACTCTGCTGAGCAGCTTCTTCTCCAGCCGCTCCTCGGGCACGCCGAGCAGGTGGGCCGGGAAGGCCAGGTACTCCTTGCCGGCCACCCGGGCGTCGTTGCCCTGCTCGGCGAACGGCACGTTTCCCAGGTGGAGGATGGCGGCCACCGCCTGTAGCACGTCCGTCTGCTGATCGTCCGACAGACCCATCACAGACATCGCTGCAAAGGACAGCGGCAGCAGCTCAGCACGGAGGTCGGTGTGGGCTCGACAAACGTACACAACTTAAAAATAGGGCAAAGCGCATTGATTGGATATTTCACATTTACTTTTAAGACGAATGATCGTTTATACATAAAAACAAAACCGATACAGCATGCCCATTCCCACAAGCAATACCGCAGCTGAATGTTGCGTGAAAATAAATGAGAATCATGTACCTTACGGTACATGCATGTCATTTCTCGTGTTGGGGACCACGGCTACCTAGGAAGTGCAGAAGCGTGTCGTGCTCTGACACAAATAACGTGTCCTGTTATATGTCCGCACTCAGCGGGATAACACGACGTTCCGATGAAGGCCAAAGGCCAGTGTTAGCCGGGCTTTCCAGCAAAGGGATTAGTAGATACGACATGTGTCGCTAGTCACGAGTAAAGAGCAAACCAGACGTCTCGTTTCGCAAAGGAACCGTACACATTTGTGTGCGAAACAAATAATTTTCAGGAGCACTCCAAAAGATGAGCTCCTAAAGCCAGGAACGCAAAAGAGCAGACGCAAATCATATGAGATGATGCTTTCAGTGTTGATAGTGTGGTGCGTGCCGTATGTCTTGCTATTAAAAAAAGATAATAAACTTTGGGATACCCACTTCATACACGCAATGCGTACATCAAGGCCATCTATAGAGCATACATATTACATACCCCTGAGCGTTTCCTGAAACTCGTGTGCGTCGTTGGTGCCGTCCACTTTGTACACGTTTGACTGGTTCAGGTAGGCAAAGTAGTCCGGGGACGTGAGACCAAAGTCCTCTGAAAGCGACACGGTAACACATCAGACACAGGCCGACTGTTGGTCTGTTCGGCTATTCAACAAACAACGGGTAAAACCGAAAGTGAGGACGAAAGAAGTTGTTAACAAATACTCAAGTTGTTACGAGACTCTTTTAACTTAAGAAAATCGGCACCTGCATCTAACTAAACGCCAACCGAATCCAAATTAATTTTGTTCTCCCGCATGCCTAGGACCACGTTCATCCTTAGCTGACACCCAATCCCGGGGACTCAGCTCCTCCGTTCCGCTTACGCTTCATGTCGTTGGTGGCTCCGGCCAGCATCTGGTAGAAGATGTGGAAGTTGCGCTCGCCGTCGTTCTGACGCACCACGCGCGACTTCTCCAGAAGGAAGTTGGAGATTTTGCCGCCGGTGGGCTGACCGCCGGCACTGAACTGCATCTCCACGTACTTGCCCTGTGAAAGGCGGCGGGATTATCACTTTGAACGGGTCACTTAAAAAGGTGAATTTCGTACATGATCATATGGTTTCGCACATATTCTAGTGGAAACAACGACATAGGGCACAAATCTAGGGAAGAGAATTCCCGCCTGGGGTTGATTTAGTAAAAACATGATTGCTCCCATTTTAGATAACAAAACAAATATCTATCTAGCCCAATTCTCACAACATACGAGTCAATGTCTGCTGTGTAACATCCATGACTCCGTGAACGGTATCACCCCGCTGTAGGTATGTACGGAACACATCCGAACGGTACCCGACGGTCGCTGCAGCGGCGGCCTGTTACCGCTGTATGTTCGACTGCGGTCGGGCCGCGTCCGGGCGTTCACAGAAACCCCCAACTCCCGTGGGAGAGACGCTTATAGCGGGGTTCTGAGACTGCGGTGACCGGTCGGTGGGGCGGTCTGTTGGTACTTGGGGCCATACCTGCACTTTCCACAGTAATATTATTGCCAAAGATCGTGCAAAACGCCTCAGACGTAAATCTATATGACATCGTGAAACACTCACGAAAACCAGAGCTGAGTCGATAATAAAACGGCTGAGGCACGCGAGCTTACTGAGGGACACGGCGACTAGAAAACGGCTCCAAGAAGTCAGCAGCCGAAGTAACGCGCGTGCTTTTGACTAGACGTAGCCCATACCGTGGAGCACTGGGACGGGCCCATCCCACTTCTCAACCTTACTGGATGCCATCCCAACCTCCCCAACCACTCGTCGGCCCACGCATTTACCACCTTCCTAACATACCGCAACTCATTCCCACCGTTATTTAATCTCACAGTTTCCGCGCTTTAACGATTCGCACTGCATCCCATCGCCCCAACGGGACGCAGTGTCCTATCCTGTCCTATCATCCCATCATCCCAACGCTCCATCGACCCACCGTACCATGATCCCCCTAATGGGCGCCGCCCACCGCCCTGCGTCCACCAGCGCGGCGGGCGGAGAGCGAACTTCAACCGCCGCCTAAGGTAGCCCCCAGGTAAACCGCACCGGACCTCCAGTCCAGGATGGGCCGCTCTGATAATTTGGGAGCGGACAATGCGTCCGACGGCTATTACCCTAGACCTTGAAGATGGTGCCAGGCTGGCAGACCACACACGGGGGAAATGGTGGACCGTTCGGCAATTAAATCCGACAGAGTCTCGGGATACTGTATTTTAATGTGTAAGAATTGGTATCTGGGCGGCTGTGCATCTGGGCGGCTATAATCGCTTGGTTTCCAGAAACTTCAATATTCATTTCAGTCGACATAAATAATTTCAAACAACCCGGTAGCGCCGGTGATCTGAAGTAGCAGCCACCTGACCTAGTAAACTCAGCCATAACTCGTCTACCCTCCCAGACGTCTCCCTGACCTCACACGGCGCTCCGGAGCGTCAGTTCGAGGACGGCAGGCCGTGAGCGTCAGCTGGAAGCCGTCGGTCCGTCCGTGGTACCGCCCATTGTTCCCAGATCAGCCCGGTGCGGCGCCCGTGACGAACGGTTATTACAGCCAGAGACCCAGAGCCCCAAGGAGACGGGAAGGAAGAAGAGGTCGAGAACTCGCAGGGTTCCCAGGCAGATCGCAGCGAGCTGGTGAGCCAGCAGACTTGAGTAGATGTCTGTGCCATTGCTGCGAAGCAAGGCTGTGAAGTGTGAACGCTGGGTGGCGATTAAATGAAGGGAATCTAAAACATCATACGACCTGTATAACAGAGGCTATCAATGAGCTCAGCAGTATTCTTACCTTTATCGTCTTTGTTCGGTCAGCATTTACGACCATCCATAAAATTCTACCTGTGCCATAGGGCCTGTGCCTATGCCTGTGCCTGCTACGGCCTAATAACCGAGCATCCGCCCGAGCTAACGTCACCGTCTCCAACTTACGAAGCGGCTCGAGTTGTTGTTGCGCACGGTCTTGGCGTTGCCGAAGGCCTCCAGCAGCGGGTTCGACTTGAGGATGATGTCCTTGATCTGCTGGACGCGCTGTCCGCCGCCTGAGACCCGCGCGATGTACTGCATGATGAACTTGGCCGCCACCGTCTTCCCCGCGCCGGACTCGCCGCTGCCGGGAGAGTGGGGTAACGGGGGGTAAGCAAACCAACAGGGAGATATGGTAGCGGGGTTTGTACCCCTGCCAGAGCGAGTGGGGAGGCCATATCGAGAAGTGGTCCAGGTCATAGCAGAAACTGTAGGATCAAGAATCAGGAAGACGATATGCTATGTGTTTTTGGCATGCATAGATGTGTAAATAAGCAAGCATAAGTACCTATATCTAGAACAAGTTGGTATGCTATATGACAACAGGAAAAAAATAAGACATATTTGTCAAACGCAGTCCCAGATGACGCATCACAGCCGACAGGATTATTTGCCAGTTGCTCTATATATTATGCATACCTACCAAGCATGCAGTCGATGACTAACCAGTAACCATTCACCATGACTCATCAATTTCCTTCAATGCCCGTCTTCCCAACATTTCGCGTCGTCGACCTCCCAGCATCCCGCCGAGGTGACTCATCGCCTCTGTCTGTCCTGACTCAGGCCTATTTACTCAATACCCACGGCCGCGCGAACTTCTTACGCACAAGCCACACGGACTTTCGCCGCCCTCTTCCTGTGTGCGTGCAAATACCGGCCGGTAACCCGAGACACGACCTCAGCGGCTCGTCACCGTACCCCCGACACCACGGCGTTACTCGGCCGCGCCCGGAGCAGCCGTCTGTCGCCGGACCGCCGGCGGAAGTTCATTGTTGACTGACGGAGGGTGCCGGCGGCGGCCGGACGTCCTCCCGGCTCTCCGCGCCGCACCGCGCCGAGCAGGGCTGAGCGAGCGCAGCAGCACGAGTCACCCAGCCGCACTGACACGCAGTGGTGACCCTCGGAGCCCCGCTGTGACCACTGGCGGTCCCAGGGGGGGGGGGGGCACGGGGGCCATGGCCCCCCCTTTGGTGCTGAAAGGTGGGGCCATACTATCTTTTGGCCCCACCTTTCAGATCGAACAAAAGTCCTAGAAAAGCTTTTCGTATGTTTCATTTTCTTTCTTGCGCCATCAAAGGACGTAAATTTCACTCATGAGGGCTCAGTTTCGCATTCTGTCAATTTGGTGGTCAGCGTCGCTGGCACCGGTTCACGAGTATGGCCGGATCTTATATGGATTATCAGCGTGGGTTTACTTGAGGCTCTCGTAGGCCCAGCAATGGCTGGCATGAGACCCTCTTCGGCAGTGGTGGATGGGTCCTGCTAAAGGAGATTGGCTCTAAGACACTAAAGTAAGACCTCATGGGTTGGTGCTGTGCACATCAGAAGCCCGGTGGTGACGCCGTATGCCGGCTTGGTTTCTTAAGGATTAGCGTGGGAACTCCGGGGCCTGCATAGAGTTTGCATGAGCTAGTATGTAATCTCAGAGGCATGTGTGTAATGTGTACACAGTGGCGGTTGCGGGGGGGGGGGCATCAGGGCCATAATAAAGGGGGCCATCATATCATTTGCCCCCCCTCAAACAACCAATGGGCCCCCATATAGGTGTATGGGGCCCTGGCAATTATTCGATCGTCACGAAGCTCAAAAAAAACCACGCCCAGCTATTAATATAGCTCCCACACCGGTCTTTGAGCGTCCTACACTGACCTCTGAGGGAACTTCAGTGGCGGTCAAGTGCCCACGTTGACCGCTAAGAGCCTACATCAACCTCTGAGACCCCACATCTGGCCTATGAGGGCCCCTAACAGGCCTCAGGGGTCCCAACCGGCGTCTGAGGGTCTCACACCGGTCTCTGGTGGCCTTATTTCTGTCTGTGGTGTCCCAAGACGAACCTTAAGGTGCCAATGAGGGCCCCGCACTGGCTGCTGAAGACCCGATGCCGGCCTCTAAGGGCCTGCATTGGCATTTGAGGAGGGCCCATCTTGGCCTTTGAGGGCCCTCTGCTGGCCTCTGGGGTCCAACGACGGCTCATGCCGGTCTTTTAGGGCCCCACGCTGACCTCTGAGGGCCCATGTTGGCCTGTAATAACCCACATTAGCCTCTGAGAACCCAACTCGGTCACTGATTGTCTCAAACTACTGGCCTTTGTAGTTTGCAGGCCCTGTACTGGTCTCTGAGGGCCCTAAACTGGCCTCTACGTGAAAACATATATGGGTGGGTTTCTGAAGATCAGAGGGCTCACGCAGTCTCCGGCACAGCCTTACGTTGGTCCTGATCGAGATTACTTTGCGTCCTGATGGTCCGGCGCAGATTCCCTCATATTTCGACGTCGGGACCCCATGAGCCGGTGTGGGTCCTGGGCTGGCAGAGACTGATGAAGTCCTTAGGGCTCAGGGCCAGTCTTTTTAGCAGTAAGACTAGGCAGGTTGAGTGAGCCCCAATAGAGCCGCGCTGCGAAGCCCCGCAGGAGTCGCGCGCGGCCCTCAGATGCCAATTTTGAAAGCTCGGAACCTGTGGGGGGTCTCCAGAGGTCGGTCGGTGTACCTACTCTCTCCCGCCGCCACACAACTAGGTATGTTACCTATATGAGTAAATGTCATAGTCTGAAAATGCTCTCTGGGTTTCACATGCTTGTTCAAAGCAAGAGGTATCTGTACTTTTCCGAATTGTTTTATAGTGGTAAGGTCATGAATCCGCGTGCCTGACCTTCCACTATACCTATGCTACACCGATCCGTCGTCATGGTGCAGTGGGCCGACCGGTGGAAGCACCGTGGGACGGGAAATGGAACTGGTGATTTTGCCTTAAATTGAGCTTAAAAATTTCACGCAAGTATCAGATGGATGAAGCATAAGTAATGCCAACTGCGCGGCACCTCGTGGACGTAAAAAATTAGCCGATCACCCCCTCCCCCCTCCCGGTGACGGATAAATGTTATGTCCCGCGAGTGTGACTTTGGCCCCCCCTTTTGCTAGCGGCTGCGACCGCCAGTGGCTGTGACTGACCCGCGCGTGCCCCGAGGGTGTGTTGTGTCCTGGGGGCGTGCCACCAAACCCGTCTCCTCCCCCGACAGCAGACAGCTGACGTCCCGCCGCGAGCAACACCAGCCGCCCGGTCGGCGGCCGTTTGTGCAGCTGCGTCCGCCGTCACTCAGCGCCGCTCGCTGCCGAGAGATGCTGCACAGACAGCTAGCTCACTTCTGCATTTAGGAGGGCGACGGGAAGTCCGAATGAAACGCATTTCTGCTCTATACGTAACTCCACCGCTATACAATCTTCAGACAGACCTGCCAGCTAGTCAACCTGGTCGACCCTCCATCCAGCAGCTGACATGAGCCATACATTATCCACCCAGCCCCGCCCACTCAATGGGTGACATTCCGGCAGCCGGCGCGGACGTCACCGCCTCACCGAGCGTGGGTTCGATTCCCACGGTGGTCAGACGATTTACGACCTCGGCACGCCGCCGCGTGTCTGAGGAGCGGGAACAACAGATGGTCCAGCCCGCCCGGGCTGATTCACGGTTCGGTGACCATGCGGTGACCAGGCGATGAGCATGCGGTGACCGAGCGGCGACCAAAAGTGAACCGGGACGCAGCTCGACCGGGTGGAGCTCGCGAACAGCCGTATGGCCTATGTGGCCCGAGACGAACGATGGGGAGCAGCATAACGAAAAATGGTCGTTAAGTAAAGCGTTCCGCCGTTGACATGAGCCTTTTATTTTTAACTGAGGTGTGACAGCAACTCTTTACTTCCCGTGACATTGATCAATTCAGCCCATTAAATGTAACGCTTACGCAGCTCGTAAACAGACCCCACCGTCGCGGCAGTTTGTCCAGTGACTGTCATGCGGAACCATATACCCCCCCCCCCCCATCAAAGCTGCGACCAGACAAGGGCTTCCTGAGGCTCTGAGCTTGGGTCACGCGACCCGGTCTGTGAGTAAAGCTCCCCGTCCGGCTCCGTCTGACCCAGATTGGGACTAGGGCTTCTTTGTGCCCGAGTGGCCACGGCCGCTGGATGTTTGCGAGGGTCCCGGTATAGAGAGTTCTTGTGTCCTGTTCATTATACACATCAACGCCCTTGGAGAGCATCGGGACAAAACACTGCGTGTTGGCAGTTCTGTTTCTCTCAGGTCCCGAGGAGTTGGGAGGCGTTGCATCATTCAATGTGTTGGTGAACAACGATGAACGAGTTCGATGAATGAGGCGTTGAATGAGTTCATACAACGATGACACGCCCACCGCGGCCATCGATTATTCTCCTTATGCATAAGCAAGTCACATGCGAAAAAAAAAACAGCTGAAACATCCTCAAATAGGTGTGATCTATGCTAGCCATATTCAGCCTTTTACGCTTTGAGTTAGCCCTCACCTGATGATGACACAGTGGTTCTCGACGTCGATGAGCATGTTGCGATACATCTCATCGGCCAGCGCGTACACGTGAGGAGGGTTCTCATGGCTAGCCTGAAAACAGAGCGCAAAAAATGTCAAATTATAGGACAAACCAGGTCAGGGCAGGACAAGGCGGCATAGTGCCTCGGAATAGGTCATTGTGGGAGATCAACCATAAAACAGGCAGGTTGTGGTTCATTTGATTATGTTCATTGGCGTCGGGTCAGGTATCCAAGTGGAATTTTTACGGTTTGTAGGTATGACTAAAACGGGCATAATTTTCGACCAAATCTATCCTTACTTTTGACAACGCGCTGACCGTTTGGGCTCAGTATATTGCAGATAAATAGTTGCACTATCGACAATGCCCTGAACGACTGCAGCTATGTCAAACATAAACGTAATCAGCAGAACACTGTTTGAAATAGGTTCAACTGCGCATACAATACCTATACACGCTATGAGCCAAATAAAATCCCCGTCAGGCACGATAAAAGATATGTCTACCAGTCACCATGTTTTCTTAATCACTCTTTGGCAACGAAATTTTTAAAGTCACGATATAATTACTTAATTACAGGTACCTGCGCGTATCAATTTTATTGGTTTTGTGTTGTCTTAAGCAATACAATTAATTTAGCAGTTGCATGTCTCGTTATTTCAAAAACGTCACATACATCCTACCTACAGAATCACGCACGTACATACTGTACAAAAATTGCCAACAGGCACATTTAAATCACATTCCAAGTTTCCACCAGCTCGAAATGTAGGCCGTGAAATCCCTTCCGCCTAACTGAAGCCTGTTTACCAGCTTCCCCGTCCGAATAACAAGGACGAGGCAGCGTGCCTTATCATTCAATCAATCTCAGTCCCCAGGCACCAGCAGTGGGCCGCAGGGGCGCCCTTCAGAGGCCAAACGGCCACAGATGCGGCCTCAACCCACTCTGACCCTTCGGTCTGTCCCCACCGCCCTCTAATGCTGTCAGGACTGTCAGCAGTCTACTGCATCAGTCAGCCTGACAGTCATTGACCCGTCACGCATCATCCGTCACCGTGACACGGCACCTATTAGCTAACAGCGTGCCTCGAGCCATCAACTGGCACAGTGTCATCACGGCCTTTTGGCTGGCATTTTCACCATCAGCGGGAGTCCGGATAGAAACAGCACCCGCTCCGTCAAATCCTGCTCGCCAGAACACACCACATAAGGTCGTGTGGTCATGAATCATGGTTTAGCGTTCAGTTTACGGACTCGTTTGGGTGAAAAATGGATGCCTCGTGTCGAGGATACAAAGAAGCTGTTATCAAACAAACACGGGATAGCCTTACATGTCCCTGGGCTGGAAATAAGGGATTGGTAGCACGGCAGGTGCAACGATTCGGGCAGCTATAATCTGCCGGATCTGTGCTGCTACATGGGAGCTAACCGTCAGGGACGGTTATTCACGGTACGACCGCATCCATTTGTAGATTAAATAGCTACCGGGATGACGTCAGAATTCATGGTCTGCAATATATCATGCCGAATAGTTACAGAGCAGTGAACCAGTAGGATCCCGCACTGTTAATTTACATGAAAGCCAGCTGAGCTTAAAGTTACGGGATGTGTAATGTGTGTGTTGTGTAATGCATTATAGCGAACCAACCGACTCGTCAAACATAAAAGATGTCCATTTATTCGTGATTAGACTACGTAGCTGTCCGCTCTACATTTAATCATTCATTCATTCATTCATTCATTTATTAATCAATCCATTCATTCATTTATTCATTCATCCAATGGCCGGCTACGATGTTGAGAGAACGAATACATCAGATTAGACCTGAAATGATTCGATGACAATTATGCAAGCCGACTTCTTCAATCATTCCGTTAATTTAGATGCCGCGACTGCAGGTGTTATCATCTAAGATGTCCTCATGTATACGCTCACGAGAGAATAGAGCTGGGACCCGCGGGTGCCCGCCCAGGTACTCACCGCGCCCTGGTACTGCTCCACGTGCTTGTCACCGTAGAAGGGCAGCTGCTGGAACGGGTTGACCGAGATGAGCACCGGTCCGATGTAGGTCTGAGCGCCGACAGTCAAGGAGCTTCAACGTTGTCACAGAGACACAATACGCAAACTGCACAGATAGCACAGCAGAATAAGGAGCGCATCGCTGATAGCGCCTCGCGATTCGTAAACCGCCTAAACGTATATGCTCCCGTCCGTTTCACTCAGCATGCAGTCATTCAAAAACATCAAAGGAACGAATGAATGGCAAGCCTTTCCGGTTATCTATCAAATGAATCTTAATAAGCAGTATCGATGCGAAAAGAGGTGGACATGCACGGCAAGCAGTTGGCATTAAACTCGGTAAAAAGGAGGATGCTGTCCTACATACACCTCCAGGTATCTCATTGCACAATGCACGGTTGAAACACACCCCTGGGCCCAGTCTGTCAGGACTGTCCCATGGCAGCTTTTCATGACAGGAAGCTCACCAGACGTCCCAGCAGTCAGCACTCGAACTCGTCTAAAAGCCGGATTGAAGCTCCGCGGTGAAATTCCTGGGGCGCTTGGGACCTTCAGACCATGATGGGAAAATAGCACACCGCGGGCCAGTGCAGCTGGCGTAACTTGTCAGACGAGTGTGCTCTGGGATAGGAAGTGCATTCGTTCACTCGCTCGCTAGTTTGACGTCACAGGGAGAAAAGGTCGTCGATAGATCTTAATACGAGAAGGCATCTGTTGGGCATTTCCGTCAGTAAGTTGTAATTTTCGTGAATATTTTGCGTACCTAAATGTCATCTGGATCCATACTGTTTATCACTTTCGCTAATTAAGTTCGCGTGCTCGTTTCAAAACCTATAAGTTCAAGAACACATAATCATCTGAAAGTGGACTCCACATTTACACTAACATCTAAAGTATGTCGGTAGCAAATTACCAAATTTCTCTCCACTGCTTTCCCGCCCATACCGAGGTGATAGGTGGTAATTAAAAGTCACGCGACAGATGCCAGTGTCTGAGAGAAACGAGCGCCGCCCTGTGTCCGTCTAACAACGCACGGTGCTCCCGTCTGACGGCGCGACACAGCGACACAGAACGTTCCCCGTCGACGGCGACACAGCTGTCAGCCTGTCACATGGTTGGTCACCCAACCTCTCCGGCATCTCGTCGAAAGCTGCCGATGGACGCTGGTAAAAGAGCGCAGTCATGCTCGCACCACTTCACAATAGGCGCCTCCAAATCGAGGTTATACGACCATTTTACAGCACGGCTTTCCCTCGCACTCGTTGTGTTAAGATGTTGTGTATGAGGCTGTAAAAGTTCGTTTTCAAATAAGTGAATGTCCTTAAATAATGATAAAATCAGAGAAACATTCTCTCCTAATATGTAGGTAGGTGGGTACTGAAGCAAAAACCAAGCCAAAAGTTGGCCATTTACAAGACCAAGCCAAACATCAGCCATTTACAGCTCCGTCCTGCAGCAATCAGCTCTAACGGCTCCCCATCCATCATTTCACTTATCACCAGTGAATGTGCCATCCCTGACGCCATTACGGTTTCACTTGCATGCGTACACCAAGAGTGTCAACATGATAGTGCTATCTTATACTGCGGACGACCAGCTTTTGCAACGGCTCTCATCAGCTGATAGTGCAGAGCACGGGTGACTCAACACCACCACTCGGGATGGGTTCCACGCCTCGCATCATCAATATCAATCTCCTCGAGATTTGCCACTTCATGAGAGTAAACCCTCAGGGTTCGACTTTCCCCGCTCAGCTGGTCACGATTAACCCCTCACAGTCCGCACCTGGGAACGACAGGCCCATCCACCAAATGGAGCACGCGATTCACAACCTCACACAGAAACATTCGGCCGTCTTTGTTGGTTTTCCTCGTGACGTATTATACTCAGTCATGCAATGATAACGGACGTCCACTTTCCCCTCCCGAGTTCCTAAGCGAACTACAGACACTCCCATAGATCTAACCACGTCACCCAGAAAAGGAAACAACAATAAACCAGACATCTTACGTCACAAGCAACCACCCTAGAACAGCTTTCGCGCACCAGGAAACTTGTCTCAGGCCGCCGGAATGACCGTTTCATTATCATCTCGGCCGGTTTCCCAATTCCCTCTCAGTATGGGCAGCACGGGCCTGCGCCGGCGACAGCGCCCGCCGCGATCTTCTAATTCAATCAGGGCGACCGTCCCTCTGTCACGCCGCTGACAACCGGTCCTAGGAGCTCAGGCCGGGCACGGTCCACGGTGCAGGAGTATACTCGGCCGGTTGTGAAAGTGTATGCTGAGCGCCACTGCTCTCGCAGCAGTGACCCGGACATCTGTCATTGCAGCCTGCGCGCCTATATGTGGCGAATAGTGCTGGTAGTCGAAATGACGGGAATGCTTTCACAACTTTACTATAATGAACTAGCCACACTTTATCTTAGCACAAAGCAAATCTCAGCTGTGTAGACAAGCCACCGAAAATATTTCATACACAAGGAAACCGGAATGGCTTAATCTGGGATTACATGATTACAGTGTGCTGCTGCCGGTCCGTTCACACACGTGAGGTGCCCAGTTCTGATCTCGTTCGACCCACACCAGTGACCCAAATCGAACACAGCGCCGCGGACCGTGATCATACCCGTATCCGTACACGGACCCCGCAGCAATGACTCGAGATAGCACTCAATGAGTCACGGCAGACTCACGGAAACGGCTCCAGCGGCCGGCGAGCCCACATCCGGCGGCGGCGGAGAAGACACCATCCAGAACGGCCCCACAGTACACCCGCGGCCCCTGGCCAGACCGCTTGGGGCCCAGACAAGGCTGACGGAACATGCAGATCAAGCCGTCCGGGGCCAAATAAAACCACGGGGCCCCAGACCAGAGGACAATGACAACACTTTTATCAGTGGAGCAAAGTTGGCACGAAAAAAACGAATTTCAAACATACATAGCTGAATGGTCTCACACTCCTCTGTCTCTGCCACTCCTGGCCGAGTCTTCCACACGGCGTGGGCAGGCGAGCCGGGGGCGACAGGGGAAGGAGCTGCGGGAGCTCCTCTGAATCACCTCTGAACTCAGACAGCGCCCTCCACCTCCAGCCGGGCGCCACATGACCGATCGTGCGTGGCGCTAGAGAAACTAAACCTGCTCGGCTACCTCATCTCTTCGGAGATCGCTGGGTCGCACGAGGTCACACGAGGTCACGAGCCGCCACAACAGGTCACAGGTCACCCGGAATCACCGGACGCCACGTGACGGGCCCGCCGTCGTCCCGTGACGCAAGGTGAGACGCTGTGACGTAACGGGTCACTGAGGTCGGTCGGCAGCGGCACTGTGACGGGCGGCGGACCGCGCGCAGAGTTCAGGGAGCGTGCGGCGCCGCGCCGGCAGCGTCCCGGCTCGTCGCATGAGCGGTGCCCTGTCGGCCATCATTCCGCCCCGCCGAGCACGTCTGCCGAACTGGGCCTGTTTTCGCGGCGTGTAGGCAGTAGCAGCGGCGGTCCCAGCGGTGCGGGGGAGGCATCAGCGCCGGTGCGTGTGTTCCAAACGACACGCCAATCACCGTCACCACCCGTGACACCTCAGGTCTCACGACCCGCTCTCTCCCTCTTCACTCCTCCCTGCCTCCGACACGCGTCGTTTGTCCCTCCTCTGCAGTCGTTCCACTCAAGTAGCGAGACGTCGCTCTCCTCACGTCACCATGCTCGTCACCCACGCCTCCCTCCACGCCTGGCTGAGCGCTGAGCAGGCACGACCGAGGGACGGCCGCCGCGCTCTCCACACGGAACCAAAGAGCAAACAACGCTCGTGTTCCGTCCAGGCCAGCTCTCTGCCACGCGGCGTGAGGCACGCAGCGGTCAGCGAAAGTGCAGCACCGCACGCACATGGTTCGCGAGCCGGCGTGCGAGAGCCTAGAGGGAAAACGCACCGGGGTTCAGCGTGTGTCACTACATCAATGAGCTCAGAACGAGTCGCGGTGGCTGGAGATTGCGGCACAAACGGCAGTGCAGCATAATGGCTGTGAAAGAGGTCGTGAGATGGAGCATGAGTGACAGGTGTGGGGCAGAGGACGTGTCACGGCGTGGAGCGTGATATAGTGGGGGGGGGGGGGTTACGTGACCGGGAGGGACGTGACCTGAGGGGAGGAGTGACTGGGAGGCGGGCCCAGCGACGGGCGAGCGCGTGGGTAGCGCTGCCGTATCGGGGGAGAGAGAGCGGGGTCACTCGGCGGGACGGAGCGGGGTCGCTCGGCGGGTCGGAGATAGCTCCCAACAGCTGCTCCATCGCACAGGTGGATGGACGGAGAGCGGTAACGAGACAGGCGGCGACCAATGGGTCCAATTAAACCCCGCCCTCCCGCTCGACCGTATACACGAGGGCGGCGCAGGGGCGGTGCAGGGCGAGGCGCCGTGCAACACAGCGGGGTCATCTCGGCATTGGTCCACCCATCAACGTCCGTATGAAATCGCAATGCATCTAACGCTGAACGTCAGCCTAATTTAATCAGCGCATTCATACGATGTCAAGGTATAATAAAAGCTGACGAGACTAAGATTGATGAGCGCATGTAGAAACTTTAAGCTACTGCACCAGTTAACGAGCACGCAAGTAATCATGTTATTATGTGTGATTAAGTACACCCTAAGCGCAGCTAAGCATTCGCTGAGCCGGTCGGCCTGGTCACTCAGAACCATTAAAAATAGTCAGCTTGTCACGAATGCAACCGACATATGTTCACAATGTAAACACAAAAATCGATGGAGTGTGGAGCTGAACACTGCAGGCTGCAAACGTCCCAGAAAAAGGCTCCCTCACAAGAACTAACGGGCCACATTTTTGCTCACAACTCTCCAAAGCTCATGCAATGCAAACAAACTGTGATCAGCAAATATAGACGGGACGCGGGCAAACACATGAGCATTGTGTTCTGCACAATAACACATTGTGTTTTTGCTGTTCAGTAGGCCCTCGGGGTCTCTGTAGGTCACGTTTACGGTATACGAGTAAATAAACCGTAACATTCCTACGGCGAAGAGGAATTTACGGCAAAACATAGAGC